AAAGAGGTAGGAAAATTTCCTATGACCTCGTTATTTTACTTCGAAAGGGATGATCACACAAAGATGGAAGCGAGGTTAGGAAAATTTCCCGTGATACCACTATTCGCCTACATTTTTGACGAAAAAGAAAAATACAAAAAAGGGGGGCGAAAGCTGTTTTGAGAATGTTTTCTGGCTGAGTATGCAGATGTGTAGACTAGTCTGAGTGAAGCAGTGTGTGTGAAAGCTCCTCAACTGAGAAATAGCTACCTCACTGAGCTGGTGGGTTGAATCCGGTTTTACAGTTCGATGTGCTTGCTCCTGTGCATATCATGTTACTTCAGGAACTCTGTGTTCAAAGGTATGACGTGATACAACTACTGAGTGACTCAAAATGAATTGAATTTTAATATGATGTTTCATGGAAAACAATTCTGGATCTTTGACATGGTCACTTCCTGCCTCTGGTTGTTTAGTGGTTGCCTGTGATATTTCTGTGCTCAACAGTGTTCAATCTGTACAGTACAGAGTGCATGTTAAAACGAATTTCAAAGCAAGGGTGAACTGGTTATCTCACCGGTTAAAACCGGTTTATGTATCTTATTGGATTTTCGAGTTTTTGATGCAATTACAGGTCTGCTTGGTTGTGAAGGAGTTTTATGCCAATCTTGCTGAGTTGGAAACTCGTGCTGACGGTCTTACATTTGTGTACTGAATTCCTGGCACAAATCAGGCTACTCTGCAGCCTGATCGTCTTCTGCTGATAGATATGGTGCTGTCCTCCCAGAGAGCTGTTCTGACTCTTGACAACTGAAGCTCAGAATGCTGCACCTCCAGTTCAGACATCAAGGACCTTGCTTAGTGATGATCTTGCTGATCTCCTGGCTGTAGCTACCCGGATGCAGCGTCGCCTAGAAGGTAAGTGTCTGTTCTCCTTCATCTGATTTCCCTGCTTAACATGATTGCTTTTGGTTTTTACATGAATGTGCACTCAAGCAGGGGGAGAATATGGTAATTTTGATGGAGATCCTGCTGGGGATCCTAGTGATGAGGAGGCTAGTGGCTGAGTAGTTTAGACTAGGCTATTAGTAAGGGGGAGCAAATTTTTGCACTACTGTTCTGTTTTGCTTCCTCTGTATTTGCTTCTGTTAGGTGTTGAAACTTGAACATGGTTCCTTTCAGTTTCTGTTTTGCTAATGAATGTTATTTCAGAATTCTTTTGAGTTTGAAATATACATTGGTGTTTCTTGGTGTGTATCTTGGCAAACTAACCCTGACAGGTAGCTCTGGAGCTTGAGGTGTCACATTCAGGTAAAAAGGGGGAGATTGAAGACATATGGATGTCGGGCTACAGGAAGATTCTGTGGAGCACAGGAGAGAGCTGTATGCGGGAAACTGCGAGACATTAAATGAAGATGACGTGGCGAGCAGTGATTGGTTATTGGAAGTTTCCAGAACGTGATGCTCAAGTTTATTCGGTGTATTGAAGATGCGATCAAATCAAGGAAAGAAGATTTGGTGTGATCTCAATATTAGGAAAGTTGTTAATGACACTTGTGTCGTTAACCTATATATTCGCAGTCTAGACTTTAGGTTTAGGTGGGCGTTTAGAATATCTCTGTGAATCTCAAGTACTAGGCTAGAAGCTGTTAGGGTTCTTGGTGAGTGAACAGAGTGTATGCATAGCTGTTGCTGTGTTGTGAGTTTGGGTAGATTAAGAATTGGTCAGTGACGAGTTGTGTCAACGTCGTGTAAATCTGATTAAACATATCTTGTAGATTGTTTAAGTGATTCTTAATAAAGGAAAAGAAGTTCTTTTCAATTGCCTCAACATCTATCTTTCTACACTACGTTGGCACTATGCTCATGGAATCGTGAGGTGTCCACGATTATAAAAATAGATGCATAATCCAGGCATCTTTTGTTTTATTGGTACACTTTATACTCATGTACTTTTTGAAACGTTAGCTCTACAGTTATTGGTAAATATAACTAATGATTGGCTTTGCATGTATTTTTTAATTCTATCGGAAATATACATACTTAGAATAATAAGTTCTCTAGCTAATAAAATGGTAAAAAAAAATGAAGGACAAATATTGTTGATGATATAATAACTTAAGCGGGAAAATAAACCTGGGGGAAGAATAGAGAGGCACATGGGAAGAGTGAGCAATGCTTTGATTCCATATCTGTCGGATAGATTTCCGATCACTGGCATCATTATCATTGTCCCAAGTCCTGCCGACTATTTTTTTTTTTTCCATTTTCACCATCAGAAAAAAAAAAAGTTTACATTAATTAGTTTAATTTTCTTAAGATTCTTTTATTAGAAAACTTTGATAAAACACTACTTGAAACTAAAACACCAATTAGAAAACTGAATATATTTCAGGACTACCTAGCGAAAAATTAAAACGCATTGCTATAAAGTTTTGAAAATATTTATTTATAAACAAACTTTGTCACAATTTCTGATGATTTTATTTTGATCGCAAAATAGTTTTTTGATTTAGTTCTTTGGCACAACATACATATATCATGTATCAAAAAGCTTAACTGCATGATGTCATCAATTAGTGATAACCTATAATTAGTTTGGTAGTCACTATCAAATTATCTTCAGTTTAATTTACTGCAAATCAAATGTGATAACATTCGGGTTGACGTTGAATATTTCTTGAATATTTTTTTCAACGTCCCAATGAAATAATTCCCATAGACTATAGATTCACATTCATATTTTCGAATTTTAATTCCCTTTATTAATGAAACAACTAGAATCGATTAATTCACTGTTATATGTTATCAATTTTGAAGACATTGAAGATTGTTTGGAAGCATTTGTTATGATCAAAAGATTAAAGAGTCATCAATCCCCAAAGAAAAGCCAATATGCATGGATATATATGTATATGTGTATATTATATAAGTAGAGATGGTTACCACTTGTTGTACTCCGGTGAGATAGACGGCGAGAGAACATGAATCGTTTAGGCCGGAGCAAACCGCGGCGACGGTGACGTCAGTCATCACTGGCCTAAGCAAGTATTCGGCGAATCCCGACAAGAAAACCGTCATCAGTATGTGTCTCAGCTCTCCAACTCTAAATTGCTCCATCTCTCTTCTCCTAAACTTCACTTCAAATTCTGAACTATACATAATTGTCTCGCAGATTAATGTATATCTTATACTAATATCCACGTGCGAATATCCATATATTAAAAACATATATTCATATATGAAATTTTGTTAAACCATATAATAAAGCTTGATATAACATTTATAATTAGGCTGTCAGTAACACCTTGGTGGATGCATGGTCTTTTTCATTTTAAAATGCAATTTTAAATTATTTAATCGATAAAAGACGATAAATGTTATTGCCAAATCGAATCAGAATCAGTTCATTGCTCTTTATGGGAATTGGATATTTGTAAACAAAGAGAGAGAGAGAGTGAGTGAGTGATATCCCCACCTGCTCCCCTCTGCCTCACGGGTTTACTCAATGGTCATAAGTGGAAAGTATATTATTATAAGGGCATCATCAATGGGGGATCATGTGAGGGTGTTCTTATAGAGAATATAATGTTAAAATAATGTAAGATCATGTGTTTAGATCTTTTGTTTAGAAGTTGATTAGTGGGAGAACATGTGTAAGATCTTAAGACTTAATAATATAATAATCTAAATTAAATTAAGATTTTACAATTATTAAAACATTTAAAAATAACATATAAATTGCAAATGCCAAATTTATTAAAAACTGAAAATAAAAGTGAAAATACAATACTAAATATTTATGAAAAAAACATTAAAAATATAAATAACAATAAACAAACAAACATATTACTTAATAAAAGCACAAAAACATTTTATCTAATTAATACATAGTTTATTATCCAAATTTATTCCAAATATGTTGAATATTCCAACCAATGCCCAAATGCCACGTCACCCCCGCAACACCCACAAGAACAGATCCAGGTCAAGAGCCCAGTTCCTGATCTTAAGCCCATTAACCCATTTTTTTGGATTTAAATAATGCTTAGATCAGGAGGGGTGATCCCCCAATGCAGATGGTCTAAGAACACCTTCATAATAAGTGGTTTCTCGATTTGAAAAATAAACTAAAAATAAATTAAAAATAAAAAATAATTTTTAATAAAAAAACTGAAAAACGTTTCTCATTTGAAAATCTATATATCAAATTCCATTATATAAAAGTTTAAACTATATATGAATATTATTTTTAATTGATATTAGTTAAAGTTAATATAAATATAAATTAATATTTTAGTAAATAAAATACTATAATATATATTAGAAAATAAATCTGAGATGAATAATTTGATATTTTGTCAACATTTTGATATTTTGATAAATAATGTCTTCATTATTTACAAAATGTCTAATGTAATTAAAATCTATTGATAAAATGATGTGTAATTTTAATCATCTTATTTTACAAAATGTCTAGTATAATTAAATGCAATTCTATTCAATCATGTTGTTTGTTTCAATCTCCATGTTTGAGTAGTTTGCTTGTTAGGTTTACGGATTCTCAATAGCTAGGGATTTAGATGAATTGTTAGATCGATAACCTGTTAAGATAAAATTTATAGAGTTTTTAACTTTTGATTGTTCTTAATGCTAATTCTAGGTGATGCTAATTCTAGGCTGATCACCTAGAATTTGATCCTAGGATAATAGGTTAGATACGAGAGTGCGCTTATTACTTGAACTATCTTAAGTGGGCAAAAGTAGTTATTCTCAAACGAGAGTTGGTTTAGATACTTTTGTGAACATATCAAACATGATCGTTAATGCTTATTTTAGTTTTAGAGATTTACATATGAGAGTTGGAGTTCCTACTATTAGGCATAGATAGTCAATATAGACGAGAGTTGGTTGATTATAGTTTTGTGATTTGAGTTCTAGAACGGTTCTTTAATAATTTATAATTTATTGCTAGATCTACAATTCTGATATTTCCTGGGAAATTCCCTCAGCATGATATAAATAAAACCACAACTTAATTGAAAGAGTTATCACTGGTCCAAGGTATAAATCATGGATACAAAACCAAATGATCAAATTTTGTATTTAGAATGTAAATGCAACTGAAACACTTTTTGCTTAAACTCTGTGCTCTATTTGTTGTTTGCAATGAGATCTCTCTGATTTGAGACGTAACCGATTTACGATCAATGTCACACTTGATACCTTTCAGCAAGCCTTTCCTTAAAAACAGGATCCAAAACAGAAAGACATTCTTCCCATGAGTTTCTTCCAAGCATCTGAACCCAAAATATGAAGTAAAAGACATTAATCGTTTGACATCAGATTACTTCTAATGTACAAGAACAAGCGTGTTGGATCGATATATGGTTAAAAATGAACTTAAACTCAGCATAAATAATCTTACGTACGTTTTTATAGCCGTTTAGCACTTGGGAGAATTCGTTTTGGATGACAATGCTTCTTGTTTCCTATGATAAAATTCATAATTTGTGTATCAACCAATTGTTCAAAAGAGAAGTCAAAAGATCGAACTGAGCTAGGAGAATCACAATTAATATTCTTTTCACTTACTTGCCAGCTTGCAATGGCTAAGCATATAAAAGCAACCGAGCTGACATATCTTGATGGATTCACCTTAACCTAATTTATGGAGAACACTTCTAATTGTAAGATATCAAACTTTATTCAATGTTATAATAACAAAGCAAAAAGTAGAGAAAAATACCATTGCACATAACCCTCGAAATGCAGTTTCTTTTGTAGTGTTATCATCTAACCTGAAAAGAAAATATGAAAAAAAAAATTTTTATGGAGCAAGGGTTGGGAGAGAATATATAAAGATTCCAAATCCAAGACAAAGGTTCACTAACGTTGCCAATCTCATGCACCAAGGCTTCATGAAGTTCTCAATGTGCGGTGCACCGAGGTCTGGATGAATAAATGCTAGTATCCCAATGGTAATTGCACTGTTCATAGCTAGTTCAATTGCATTGTATTCAACTAGTGTAGTTGCACTCTCCAATTCTAGTGTCTTATTCACAAAAAAAAAAAAAAAAAAAAATTAGGCATACTTAGACATGACCAATAAAATCGTGAATTTATAAGGCTGTGAGAGTTACCTCTCCTTGTTGAATAATCAGGCCTAAGGAAGAGACAACACTGGTCACAATTGGTGAGACTTCTTGAGGAAACTGGAAACATTAAGTTCCTATCATTCACGAGTTTGTTCTTAACCAGAAACTTCAAGCATTAATAGAGAAAGAGCATGTTGGTGTTACCTTGAAAGCTAATTCTCCAATGGCTTTACAAGCATTATTTGCAGCAGAAAGGTTTTCTCCACTAAAATTTTCTCTCTGTACAAAGCCGAGATACAATCAAATACAATTAAAACAAAAAAAGAGAGAGAGAGAAAATGTATAGTAGCATTATAATTTGGATACCAACCAGTTGTTGGCAGGCGATTTCGAGGAACTCAAGCAGGCGGGGGTCTAAATAAACCGGGAATGCCTGTTAGTGTAGCCAAAAACCATTATTACACTAACACATCTAGTAAAAAGAAGTCGAAATTATGACATATAATCTCACCTAACTAGTAGCTTTCACTTTCCTTGCTATTTAATCATGTTAAAGGAAAATATATAGACAAATAAAAGAATATACAACTTACTTTTGTAAGATCACAAATAAGGGCAAAAGCACTTTCTCTAACATCAGGAGTTTCATCCATGCAACACTTGAGAAGCATATCCCTTAGATTACTTTTTGAAAGCTGCATAAGAGAGATGATGTGAGTTATGACAATTGAGTCGGTCATGTTATACAAACAACTTTGATATTGGAGAAGCTAATTGAATTATTCACTGAGTGATAAGAACTTATGAGTAGAAAACTAAGACATCAAGAAATGGATTACCAGAGACTCTATCCCACTGCCAAGCCCTTCAGCAACTCCAGAAACAAATTCAAGAGAACAAACAACGATTTTTGGATCGTATGGAGCCTCAGCAATATCATGATCAACCTAAAAACAACACAAGCAAGCTATGATCAAACGACAAACGAAAACATGAAATAGTTATGTAGAAGTCCTAATAAAATGGAGATTTAATTATTTCTAAACTCAAGCATGTGACTAAGGAAAATTTGAAAGATCACTCCAAGTCTCTAATGAAATGAATCCATAGGAATTATGAACCGAACCTTAGCTTGCTGTTGTAGTTGGAGGATATCCATGCACCTCTCGAAAACATACATAGAAAATGGAGCGAAACCTACTTCTAAAGCCTGAAACATGGAAACACAACTAGTCATAAATTTATAGTTCTTGCAAACATTGTAATATTTTGTTAAGATAAACTTGTCTAATATTCACATATCTCCCAATATTAGTAGCAATATCGGACTTCCAAACTACCAAAACCTCAGTACCTTCACTTACTAGAATAACTAAAACTAATTCCATTCGTGTAATAGATTAAAGACCTTAAGGAGCTTGAAAAGTAGTAACATACCTTAGAAATGGATGTGAAGCACTTTAGCAATGGAATTACATTTTTATCTGAATCTGAAATTTGTTCCGACGTCCAAACCAGTGGGGGAATCAAAATATTAAGATAAGCAGGCTGCATAACGGGTTAGTGTTAAGTAGGTAGAAAATTTTATAAGTACTAATATAAAGATATAAATTTACAAGAACAAATTAACCTTTCAAAAACCTAATCACTATACCTTATTCAGATCGATTCCAACTGAATCTGCTAGTGCTCTGATAGCATCAAAAAGAACTTTTAAGTTCCGTCTCTGGATATATGAAAATAGTGTGTTAGGTAGTCACAAATAAAATTTTGTTTGAAGTTTATAATAGTTGCCACAAAGAAGATTTAACGACCTGATACTTCCCAAAAGCGCGCATTAGCTGTTTTAATATTTTTTTCAGGTATGGTACTAAGATTTCACCAGCATCCTACATGTTCACAAAAAATCACTTTTGTCAACAGTCATCCATGTTATTAAAATTAAACTTGATTTTGGATGAAACTTAACTATGGGCTCATGATGAATTTATCTTTAACTGGACTAAATAGGTCCAACTTCTACACTTTTTCAAGAAATACTATAGAAAATATCACCTTAGACCATCTTCAACAGGAGATTCTTAAGAGGTTCTTAGCATTAATTTTTACAAAAATTAAATGAATAATTAGCTTAAATCCTAAGAACTAGCTCTTATATAAGAGCCAAAAAATCAGTTCTTAACATTAATTTTTAGCATTTCTCTATCTTCTTCTTTTTGAGAATGTCTCTCTAATCCATGATAACCCGAAAAATTCGACCCGAAACCGAACCCGAAAATTTAGATTTACCCTATTGGATCATAAACTCATATATATATACATATGTACCTGAAAACCCAAACCCGAACCCGAACCCGACCCAAACCTGAATCCGAAAATACCCAATTGTTTTATTCGAAAACCCAAAATTTGAATTTTTAACCGAAAACCTGAATAATTACCCAAAAATCGGGTATTTAACCGAAAACTCGAATATTACCCAAAAACCCGACAATTTACCCGAACATTTATATGGCGGATATTTAGCGGTTCTGAAAATCTATACCTGAACCGACCCAGATCCAAAAGAACCAGAACCAAAACCGAACCGACTTTTTTATTCGATCGCATGAGATTGACAAATATTTAAATATTTACGTAAAAGAATATAAATATTTATAAAATAAATATCTAGATATTACAGTAAAAGGTCTACATATTATGATAGAGTATATTTTGTACCTAGATAGATATACATATATTATGGTAGACTGTTCTAAAGAATAGGACACGGTTTGTTAGCTATTTTTTACTTTTGGATCTTATAAATAGTTTCTTCCTTTCCATTTTTAATCAAGTGTTCCTAAACATAAGTTCTCTAAACTTCTCTAAGAATCTTTCAAGTATCTTTGCTCTTTCATATTCTTCTTCAAGCTTAGAGGTTCTTTCAAGTTTTTTCAGGTATGACGGTAATAAGCTAATGCTAAACATTACTAAAAGTTCTTTACACATGACATAACATACAACAATGCGAAGAAAATAGTTACCTCTTCAAGAGTTGTCAAAGCTAAACATGCAGCTTCCTGGACCCAAGTGTCCGTATCCAAAACTTTGAGAAGAAGACCCTTAAGAACTTTTCTAAAGAGTTCACTATTCTCCGAATTATTTTCCTATAAAATAAAAGTATCGAATCATCTAAATTTTTTTAAAATAAATAGAATAAAAAATATCATGTTCAAATCATACCTCAATAACATATGTGCCAAATTGATAAAGTGTCCAGCACGTTTTTCGTCGTACGAGAGGAAATTGATCATTTAAAAGGCGACGAAGGATTGTTACAATCTGTAACAAGGCACTAGCATATATATTAATGAACTTAAGTTAATGGAGAAAGACTTATGAAATGACAAAAGATCATAAACGAAAACTTTCCTCAGACAAGTGAGGGTAGAAACTTTTTTTGCATCCTTCAGCAATAGCTCCAAGAGCATAAACAGCAACTTCCCTTTCTTTCCAAGTTTCATCATCATATCTTGATAGTTTTGCCTGAAGATTGGAAAAAAACATGTTTGAGCTAATTGTTTTCAGTTCCATAGACCGAGAGAGAAATAATATTTACCTTAATAAGAGGCATGAGTGTTAGAAGGATTTCATCTCCAAATACATTAGCGAGAATGCCAATAAATTTTGCACTGCATGCTCTTAAACTCCACTCATTATCATTTTGTGCCTAGAGATAGTCATTAAAAAATGATGTATGGAATTAGTATATTTATATTGTATAACTCATATATTATCATATACACAACTTGTGTGCATAAAATGACCCAAAATAAATAGATATTAATGGAAAACGAGAATATTAGAATGAATGAAAATTGAATAAAAATTATTTGTAAGAAAAAGTGAAGTCACAAGAACATAAAATTATAGTTATATAATTTAAAAAATGGTGAGAAACATATAATACCAACGGAAAATAAACCTCTTCATTGGAAAGTGTCTCATCATCATCTTCATAAGCCATGTCTGAGAGCAACATCTAATAATAAAAATAAAAACATCTAATAAAATCCAAATGAAATTTTATGAAAATGGTTAAACATTCCCAAAAAATACTAGAAGAAAATTAAAGGAGAAGTATCATTATACTGGAATCAGGCGTGGCAATAACTCTTTTAAATCCGTTGGTTGGAGCTGAGCATCACAGTATGCAGGCCTGGCAAATAATAGTATAGTTTTGAGAGCAAATTCACAAGAAAAATAAGTTTATTGAGCACAAAAATAATAGTTTATTGAGCACAAGAAAAAATAATTAAAAAAAAAAGTATAACACAAGAAAAATTCAATTTACCAAAATTTACATGCCGTAAGAGACACTTCTTCATTGAGCTTTTTTATTACTTGTGCCTTGTATGCCATGAAATTCCGGAGATGTGGCTGAAATAGACAAAATAAGGCCAATTAACCAATTTTGGTCTACTAATGTTAAATTAAACAATCTTTTAGCATTAATAGATTGAAAAATACACATCTAACACCAAAATAACATAAAATATTTGGTTAAACAGTATTTACATAAACGAACTCGTATGAAAATTTTCAAATTGAGAGAAAAATCAACGAAAAAGGAAAATAAACGTACCCACTGGTGGTACGAAAGGAAAAAAGAGGCGGTGAGAGAGAGACACGACTGATAGAGACAGAAGAAGCAGAGAGAGTGAAACACGACTGATAGAGACAGAAGAAGCAGATAGAGTGAAACCCGAGAGAGAGGAGACGGCGACTAATATAAAGAGAAAAAATAAATAAAATGCAATTAGGGATTAGTTTATTAGATATTTTTGAATTCTGATTTACTTGTTTTGGCTTGGATTCGGATTTATGATTTTTCTAGGAAAGAAATCTCTTTTATCAAAACTTTGACCTTTTCCGAAACTACCTATGTCAGTACTAAAACAATTATCTGTTTTTTTTGGTAATATTAGAGAAAGGCCATAAGACTTCTATTTGTTGGAAACTAACCATGGACCCACGTTTCAGAGGAAGTTAATTGACGAAATCACCCTTTATTTTGCTTTGAGGTTAGACTGCGTGTAATATCAAAAAAAAAAAATTCGATATATAAGAGAAACTTATATGCATTTTTAAGAAATAGCATGTTAGATATACAAATAACTTCCCATATTAAAATGAATAGTGTGCTATTGCAAAAAAATGAAAGTGATTTTGGTGAATAACATGGTATATTGACAAATTTAAACATTGTTGTAAGAATTCGTGCTATTTTATTAAATAATATGAAATATATGGAACATCATGACAAGAATCATGTGATTTTGTTGAAAATCATGAAATATTGAAAAAAATATACATATAGTAAAACCTCTATAAATTAATACTCGATAAATTAATAAACACGATAGAATAATAAATTTTGCCGGTCCCAAGTCGGACCAATGTAAAAATTAACCAAATTCGATAAGATAATAAGATCATAATTTTTAAAAAATTTCTATGTAAAATATGGTCTCAATAATATCAGAAATTAATAGTCATGTAAATTTGCATATATGTATATATATATATATATATAGTGTCTTTTTTACAAAAATAAAGTTTTCAAAATTTTAATATGCATAATTTTTGTTTTAATAGTCATATAGGTTTTTCAAATACAAAAATGGATTTTAATATTTATAAATTTAAATTTATGCATATCATTTGTATATGTGAATTCTATAATCGTTATTATTCATTGTAAAAACAAATTGTTTTCTCTTGGAAATATTAAACGTTTTTTCTAAAACTATAAAATTTATAACATCCAAAACATTGATTTTATTTAGATCAAACTTTTTTAACTCATAATTTTTTTAAAAATTAGAAAAACTAAAACTAAACTGCCTATGAATTAAAAAATATTAATTTACTGTACAAATTATTAGATATTAATTTATAGATAAATTAATAAAATATTACTATAAATTAAGAGAAATTGCTAGAAATACCCTTTCTTTGATACCTCTTTTCAAGAATACCCTCTTTTCTAGCAATTTTCATTTATACCCTCTTTCAATTTTTAAGGAGCATTTGTAAAAATATCCCTTATCCTATGTCCTTTTCCAAAAATACCCTCTTCTATTGTCCATTTCTAAAAATACCCCTTCTTATGTGCTAAATGACTAAATTACCTTTCTTTAGTTACATAAGATAATGTCAAAGTCAAATTTTCCGCCAAAATGAATTTTGGCGCCAAAAAATATTTTTCCCGAATATTTTTCGTGACACTCAAACTTTTCCCGCCAAAAAAATCGTCAAGATATTTCAAAATCCTTGGAAATCTTTTTAAAACCCTTATAAAATCCTTTTAAAAGCATTGTAAATTTTTTAAAATTATTTTTAAAATCCTTTTAAAACCATTGTAAATCTTTTAAAACCCTTGTAAACCCTTAATTCTTTAAAAACCGTTTGTAAACCCTTATAAAATCCTTTTAAAACCTTGTAAATCATTTTAAAACCCTTTTAAAACTTTAAAACACTTGTAAATCCTTTAAAAACCTTTTAAAAACTCTTGTAAACCCTTTAAAACCTTTTGTAAACCCTTATAAATCATTTAAAAACTCTTGTAAATGATGTTAAATCGTTTTAAAACTCTTAACAAACCCTTATAAATCGTTTGAAAGCCCTTTTAAAACGCTTGTATATCCTTTTAAAACCCTTATAAAATTCTTTTAAACCCTTGTATATCCATTTAAAATCATTTTAAAACCTTTTTAAAACAATTGTAAATTCTTTTAAAACATGTTTTAAAAGGATTTTACAAGGATGTTTTACAAGGATTTTACAAGGGTTTACAAAAATCATTAAAACAATTGTAAGTCCTTTTATTACATGTTTATGTGTTTGGAGTTAAAAAAAATTTGTTGTACATATCGGGTCTTGAACCCCCAAATCTCACTGGTTATGGGTTATGGACTGTGTAAACGAGTGAGGTGTCAGGGGTTCGAGACCCGATTTTTGCAAAAAAAAATTAGTACTCTAACTCTAAGAAACAAAACGACGTCGTTTTAAGTCATGTCATCAAACACGTGTCAACTGATTCAGCAACCGTAACGGCTAACTAACACCTATTAATTACGACTTCGAATAAAACACTAAATATAAAGTTTAGTATGAAATTCAATATTTTTTTGCGGTTCGAGTTGGAATTAACTCTACGGGCTTGTTCAGGTCGGAAAACAATTTGCAGATTGTACAAGCATAAAAATACCATTTTCCCGCTAACCTTTAGCATAATACAATTATCTTTACCCGCTATTGCTTACGAAAGCTCATTTTCAAAATATATACTATATACCTCTATTAAAACGGTTATATCTATAAACTCATGTTTTAGCCCAAAAAACACTGCAAATGTACAATAGACCACAATATTATTTAACAATTGACTATTGAGATACCATTATTGTGAAGAGGTGTAAAACGTAAGTGCAACTGAAGAATGATGGAAGACAATACACAAAATCTCAATCACATTTTCTTATTGGTATCCACAGGTTTAATAGTTCACACAAGCTGAAGAACAATAAATCTTGACTTTGCTTAGCTCTTTCGGTTTAGAAATCTTACCAAAACTGCCCAAACCACCATACAACGTTGCCCGCAAAACAAAAGAGGACGAAGAATCGATGTAGAAATAGGAATAAAAATAAAGACAGGACGTAAAAAAATTCCAACCATGTAATCTGAAGAGCCCACACACACACAAACTCTGTACTGTATGTCTTCTCTTGCGAAATTTTTGCCCTTCGTTGAATCTTGCAAAAAAATATGATGTCTCAAGCGCCTTTTGCTCAAACTCTGTGACTCTATTTGTTGTTTGCAATGAATAAGCTAGAACAGATTCCTCTGATACAAACCGGTGTACGATCAATGTTACACTTGATATCTCGCAAGCCTATCCTTTACGGGAGGATCCAAAGCAGATAAACATTCCGCCCATGAGTTTCCCAGCATCTGAACCCAAAATAAATTAAAAGGCATTAATCATTTGACTTCAGATTACTTCTAATGTACGCGAGTAAGCGCTTAGGATTGTTAAACACTGAACTTAAATTCAGCATAGCTTACGTGTTTATAACCGTTCAGTACTTGGGAGACTTCGTTCTGGACGTCCTCGCTTCTTATTTCCTGCGATAAAACAGAAAGTTGATATTTGTGTATCACAACCAATTGTTCCAAAGCTTGGTAACAATATTGATTTTAGAACAGTTTGGTTTCTCTTCACTTACATGCCAACTCGCAATGGCTTGGCATATGAAAACAAGTGAGCTGACACCTCCTGATGGATTCACTTTAACCTGAATTTGTGGAGAACACTTATAAATATCAAACTTTTTCATGTTTCGAGCACAAAGAAAAGAGTAGAGAGAAATACCACTGCACATAATCCTCTAAATGCATCTTCTTTCTCAATGTCATCACGTACCCTGAAAAGAAAGTATGATAAGAAATTGTTCTATGGAGCAGAGGTTGGAAAAAGACTCCAAAATAACACAGAGGTTCACTAACATTGACAATGCCATGCACCATGGCTTCATAAAGTGCTCCATGTGTGGTGCAACGAGGTCTGGACGTATCCATGCTAGTCTCCCAAGGGTAATTGCACTGTTCTCAACTAGTGCCTTATTGACACCCTGCTTCACAAGAGAATAAAATTAGGCATACTCAGTCAAATACCGCAATTATTTGATAGACTTAGACGTGACCAAGAGGTCAAATTTATAGGCTGCTAGAGTCACCTCTCCATGTTGAAGAATCAGGCCTAGGGAAGAGACAACTTTGGCCACAATTGGTGAGACTTCTTGACGAACCTGAAACATTGAGTTCCTATCAGTCACGAGTCTGCTTTTAACCAGAAACTTGAAGCAACAATAGAAGAAATAGTATTTTGGTATTACCTTGACCGCTAATTCTCCAATGGCCCAACAAGCATTATTTGCGACAGAAAGGTTTTCTCTATTGAGGTTTGCACTCTGTACAAAGCATAGATATGATCAGTGCAATAGAAGAAGAGAATAGGTATAGTATCAATAAAAATTGGATACGAACCAGTTGCTGGCTTGCAATTTCAAGGAAATCAAGCAGGCGGGGTTGTAGATAGACCGGGAATACCTGTCGGTAGTAGCCAAAAAGCATTATTTCACTACTATAACTAGCAAAAGGGAGTCATTATAACATATAACTACAAGTTGTCACTTCCCTTGCTGTTTCTTTTATGTTAAAGGAAAATAAGAATAAAAGAATATGTAGCTTACTCTTGCGAGATCACCCATTAGGGCAAAAGCACTTTGTCTGACATCAGGAGCTTCATCAATGCAACAATTGAGAAGCAGATCCCTTAGGTTACTTTGTGAAACCTGCATAAGAGCGACAAAATAAGAATATATCCGGTTTTGGAAATCAACTCAATTATGTTATACCACAATAAATTAGACACATAACCATCCACTCGATCATGTTATACGAACAACAATGATCAGAGCAGTTATAAAAGTTATCCACTTAGTGAGAACTTATGCGTAATAAATTGTAAGAGCAAGACATCAAGATAAGGAAGTACCAGAGACTCTATCCCACTGCCAAGCCCTTCAGCAAGTCCAGAAAGCAAATCAAGAGAACAAACAATGAATTCTCTGTCATACTGAGCCCCAGCAGAAGAAGGATCAACCTACAAACAACAGAAGCGAGCTTTGATCGAACGGAAAACACAAGCATGCAATAGTTATGTACATGCAAGCCTGTGACGAAGGAAACTGGAAAAAAGTCACTCTAATTCTCAAATGAGATGAAATCGCAGAATTCTATATGGAACCTTAGCCAGCTGCTGCAATTGGATGATATCCATGCATCTCTGGAAAACAGGCTGAGCAAATGGAGCAAATCCTACACCTAAGGCCTGAAACATGGAAACACAATTTGTTAGACATAGAGTTCATGCTACAACCAGTATAATTTTAGGTCAAGATGAACTTGTCAGACATTCATAACTGCTATATCCTTCTATCAGTAGCACTTTCAGGCTTCCAAAACTAATCTTTGATCAAATGCAGGAGGTTTTGGATTTTTAGCTGACCAACAACCCCCAGGATACTTTTTCAGTGATCTTAAAACTACCAACACTATAACTTCACTGAGTAGGATCATTAAGGATAGTTTCATTCGTGCAACAGATTCAAGACTTTACAGATATTCTTAAGACCTTGAGTCCTTGACAAGTAGCCCATACCTGAGAAATGGATGTGAAGCACTCTAGCAATGGAAATAGATCTTTATCTGAATTGGAAAGCTGTTGCCACTTTGCAACCAGTGGGGGCATCAGAATCTCAAGATAAGCAGGCTGCATAAGAGAGGAATATTAAGTAGGCAAAAAAAAAAATTATACTACCACCAGTATATGGAATTGAAAAACCACTAGTCAAGGAGCTACATTTACAAGATCAGATTAACCTTGTACAAACCCAATTGTTATACCTTGTTCAACTCTCCTCTAACTGAATCTGCCAGTGTTCCAATAGCATCATAAACAATTCTTAAGTTCCGTCTCTGGTATATGAAAATTGTATGTTAGGTAAACAATGGTTTGAAGTAGATAATAGTCACCACGGAGATTTAGTCTGGCAAAGCAGTTTAAGAGAATTTAATGACCTGATACTTTCCAAAAGCGCACATCAGATGCTGCAGTATTACCCCCAGGTGTGGCACTAACTCTTCGGCAGCATCCTACACGTTCATAGAAGATTCACATGGTCAACCAACATCGACAAATGACACCAAAACCCACATTGCAAAACCGATAGGTACCTCTTCAACAGTTGCAAAAGCTGAACAGGCAGCCTCCTGGACCCGCTTGTTCGTATCCAAGAGTCTGCGGAGAAGACCCATAAGAACTTTCTCAAATTGTTCATAACCCTTCGGATTGCCACTTTCCTAGAAAATAAAACAGTGAATCATCTAAAGACGTTTGAAGCAGTTAAAGTGTGAAATATCCTGTTCATGTCATACCTGGATAAGATACTTGCCAAATCGAGAAAGCGTCCAGCAAGATATGCTTCGTATGAGCGGGAATTTATCATCTAAAAGAGGAAGAAGAAATGCAACGATCTGCAGAGAAACAAGGCGTTAGCATGTTAATGTATATCAACTGAGCAGAGAAAAATCACATATATGAGATGATGTGGATCAAAAACGAACTTGCCTCAGACAAATGAGGGTAAAGACCATTCATGCAGCCTTCAGAAATAGCCCCGAGAGCCAAAACAGCAGCTTCCCTTTGTTTCCAGGCGTCATCACCAGAGGCTGATAAATTTGTCTGCAGCTTGGAAGAACAGGGTTTAGCTAATTGTGTTCATTTCAAAAAGACCAAGAGGAATAACATTTACCTGAATTAGGGGCATGATTGCTGGAAGGATTTCATCTCCAAATACATTAGAGAGAATGTCAATAGCTGCTGCACTACACTTTCTTAAATTCCACACGTTAAACGAGTCATCATCCTGTACCCAGAGACAGTCATTAAAGAGGGATCTATAGAATTAATATATTTGTATCATATAACAGAAGCTTTTCTGTACAGATATCAAATGACACAAAAAAGTAAATCACATACATCATCATCAAAATCTTCTGATCCATGAAGTCTTGATGTATGAAAACGAGGTTTCAAATCCTGTATGGGAACCAAAATAAATGAAAATTGAAGAGAAAAAATTATAAGAAAAATCAAAGACACAAGAACAAACAACTGCACCTGATCTCTGTCTGGTTGCGACTCATCTTCCTGAAAAAATGAGCAGTTTTCATATATATAGATGGCAATTATATTGAGAAAGGTGACAAAACATATAATATCAACAGAAAAACAACCTCTGCATCCAAAAGTGACTCGTCGTCATCTGCATAAGCCATGTTTGCGAGCAACACCTAAAACAGATATATTTTATGAACATTACAAACTACACCAGCTGAGTAAATTATTAAGTGCCCAAAAATATACTGATACGAATACTTCCTATTCTATGATTTAGGAAATAGTTTAGGATTTTCATTTTCTTATTTACTTTTCCTAGAATATTTTACTTTACGTTTTATTATAAATAAGGGTTAGGTTTTGTTTGTGAAACCTATCCAAGCAATAGAGAGCTTTAGAGGATTTGATCAGGTTAGGCCGAGAGGAAGAGAACATAGTTCTCTTGGAAGCTTTTGCTCTGTTCTTGTTACAATATCTTTATCTTAGTTTTAACAAAGAGAGTTTTGAGTTTTATTCTGGTTTTGGGATTCTATCTCTAACATATACTGAAGAAAAGGAGAAGTATCACTAAACTGGAATTAGGCCTGGCAGAAACTCTTTCAGGTTCTCTGGCGGCAGCTGGGCGTCACAGTATGCAGACCTGCCAAACAACAATATAGCTTTATATTATTAAATGACGACAAGGTTGGAACATAAGAGAAAAACAGGTATAAAACCGTCATCTATAAAGCAAACAAAGAGAATAACATTTTACCAAAATTCACAAGCTTCGAGACACACTTCTTCGTCAGGGTCATTGTTAACTTGTAACATGTATTCCATGACATTCCTGAGATACGGCTGAAATAGAAAATAAGAGAAGAAGACAAATCTGAGATGCAGGGTAGACGAAATACTCAAACTAAACATATGAAGTACCTCAAAAAAGGGACACTTTGGAATAGATTTGAAGCAATGTGTATACTATAACCAGAATGAGAAATACCTCTATGGATGAGGGGAGTACTTCTGTGAGATGCACAAATGCTGCGCAGACCTTTTAGAAAAAGAAGAAAAGACATTATTACAGAAGCATATAAGCATCAAATATGAGACGGGAATCCGATTGAATCATATGTCAGCTAAAGAAACCAATTCTTCGAAGACGAAATAACCCTCTCCTGTCCTGACAAAAATAAGAAACAATTGATAGAAGCTTAAATAAGACGCATACCAATTTTCTGACTTCTGCTACAGGATCATTTGCGAGGACAAACAACCCCTGAAGGTACTTATCCATGGAATTGTACAAAGCCTGCCAAACATAGATTGTTACCATCCACAGTCCTTTTTAACATATAAAACAAAAACAAAGCTTTACAAGTAGTCTTCGCAATACTTACAGCAGGCATGATTATGATATATTGGTTCACAGAACCCAAGGCAAGTTTCCTCAGTGAAGCATGGGGTGACTGAAAAAACTGCTCAAACAAAAGACTGGTAATCAATCTTATCGCAACCAATCCAACAGGACGAAAAGAAATCAAACTAGAACCTAAACAAGTGCTACAACCAAGTTCCGAAATCTGTGTACGAATATGAGATGTTTACCTGAAATAGCCTAGGCAGGAAAATGTTGATAGGGCGTTCTGTTAAGCCAGGCACTTCTGTATCCAAGACATGCGGGATATCCTCACAAATCTGATCGATAAGAATACAACATGTAGATATATCACAACCAACAATCAGAACTCTGGATTACACAGGCTTATGGTTCATAAATCAAAGGTTCAACAAACAGGAGCAAGAAACAGAAAGGGGAAAGCATAGCTGCTACATACCTTTGACAATGCATCCATGGCACCATCCATATGATTGAGGTCATTACTGTCTAAACAAGTAACAAGAGCCGGCAAAAGCTCATGCCATCCAGAAACTCCCTCTATATTAACAATAACACTGATGATAGTTCCAACAGTAGTCCGTATATTCCTGTCCGCTGCTCCAAGACAAGGCAGTAACTCCGACTTGATATATTTTTGGTTTTCTTGAGCCATGGATGGATAAGCACCCCTCAAATTATTTTTCAGAAGCAATCCAGCAGCTTGACGAACCTCTACGGACTTTCCCTGATCATCATCGTACAAGTACAACTCAGCTAAGAAACAGATACTTAGATACAAATGCATAAAACCTAATAAGTTCTTGCCTAGGATCTGCAATTAGAGCATGTAGATGCAACTAAATTGAAATCAAATGAGTTCTCAAGACAAGAAGACACAATCCACTATCCTCTAAACAACATTTATGTTATTTGGATACAAGTAAACTTCAAGTCAATTGTTGAATCAAAAAGCTCATAAAACATAAACACCAACTATTGACAGACGAATATGATCAAAACGGAGATATATCCATCCATTAGGGCACAAAACACAGAAAACTCATAAAGAGAGAATCCGATAAGCAAACGAAAATTGAGCGATCCGAACTCATTCGACAAGTAGATTGAGTCAATACGGAGAAAAAAATATCTCAGGAAGAGAAGAGAGAGTAGAGAAAAGTTCGAAAACCTCAGCGCGAACGAGGATGAAGACGAGATAGTTGTTGAAATCAGGGAACTGAGAGAAGTGTTGAAGCTGCTTCCAAATCTGAGACTTGTCAACGACGGAGGAAGGAGAAATCTGTTGTTCGAGAAGAGAACAGATCTCAGCGAGACCATCGTCTCGGGGTTGCCAGACCACCGCCGTCGCCGCCATGATTGTTGTGGCAAAAAGGTAAATATGACTCGTGTGAGAGGGCAAAAGAATATTGATTCTTTGGACAAAAAAAAAGCGCACAGCAAAAGTTTGGAAAAAGACAGAGAAGACGAAGAAGAAGAGAAAGGAGAGACGCTAAGTTTGGGTTTTGTTGGGTTTTGTTCTATTCAAGTTTTCTCTTATGGGCTTTTTATGAATTTGCAAAATAACTTCTTCGTTTTTTGTTTTTTTTTTATTGCAAATTTCATTTGTTTCATAAAATTCAATTAGCTTGAAAAATAGAGAAAGAATATGATGACAGAAAAAATTAGAGAAAAAATATTAATTGATATCAAGTCCAAGAAAATATATTTGAGAAAAAATAAAATTTAGTCTATAAATGTACTCAATATGAAAACTTGAGTTGTCCCAGTATAATTTTTATTATATAGTTTTTTTTTTTGTAACGGCTGTTCTCGATTTAGGCGTGTCCAGGGGCGGAGCTATATGGAAGGCAATGGGGTCAATTGACCCCCATATCTTCTATAAAATTTTTTTTTACAATCTTATTTGTTAGAAAACTTGAATTATTTAGCTTAAAAATGAAATATGACCCCTATGTTTCTAGTTCATATTCTTCATTTGCACCCCCTAACCAATTTTTTTGACTAATCTTGATTGCTATAATACATAATATTCAACTATTAATCTTATTTTATATAGGATTTTTACCTCTTTCTTATTACGTAAATATTATTTTTCTACTTCTTTCTCTCTATTTATAAAAATTAAAATTTTAAAACTACTTTTAATTTTATTTTAGTTTAAAAAAAATATTATTATATATATATATTAATATATGACCCCTATGCAAAATAATTCTGGCTCCACCACTGGGCGTGTCATCCTTGCGCAAGAGTCATGCTAATATTTTGATGTCCCATCAAAATATAATAATTATTTTATAGTTTATGTTTAAAATATATATTTGCTTGGAATAAGAATCCAGATTTATGAAAGCATTGGTTTGTAAACCCAATTTATATACTAAAGGGAAAATAATTCATATATATATATATATATGTATCAGTTCTTATTAGCTTTAGAAAAATATACATTCTATTTGGGTAAGAAATTTCATTGGTTTAAATATGAGCTGAAGTCAAACGTATTTCTTCTCTTCAACTTTGTATATCCCTTAATCATATATGGCTTCATCAATATCATTCTGTATGGATACATGCGTTTTCCATATCTAGGTTCATATCTCTTTATCTCAACTTCAAATCGCTCTTACTAATTTAACTCTCACTTTTAAAATTGGAAGCCCCAATAATATTGGGTCGAAGAAACTCACCGTGATTACTCACATAAAGTCAAAAAGCTTCGATATTCCTTCAACAAAATATTTCAAAAAAAAAACTTTAAGCTTTAACGACACCAATGTTGAATTCAAACTTTGGCGGCAATCCGACAAATTTCAGTTTGGGATCAATCCAAGGAGAAAGTGATGAGTTCGCAAAATTGCTAGAACGATTGTAATTGAGTTGGAGCTAATGTAGCTAATAAATATCGTAGGATTGACAAGAGAAATGTAGTATATAACTCCCAGGTTTCAGGAATATGGTGGTGCATGCGGAGAAGTTTAAAAGTATTGATTTGGCCACCTATATCACCAAAATACACTTATCTTTTCGGTCAAACGTCCTGAGAGAACTCCACAGTTAAGCGTGCTTGAGCTGGAACAATTTCAAGATGGGTGAACTTTTGGAAAGTGATTGTCGGAACCGTGTGAGTGATGACAAAACACGGAGAAAGATCATGTAGTGATTTGTAGGGTCGGTAAACAAGTCTATAAAGCCTCTCGGACGTAGCGGACCGACCGCCGGACAGGGATGGGGTCTATGGACCCGAGAGAGGACGTGGGTCCTCACTAGTTGGGGCGTTACAAGTAGTATCAGAGCCAAACTCATGCGAGTGTGAAGTCAAAAGGGCCACACCGTTGGGGGTGACGGTCTTGGTGCGCAACGAAGACTTTATTATTTGTTAGTGGGAGTGAATTATAACACTCCGGTTTCATGAATAAGATCGGTAAACAAAGCATCTCGGATGCAACAGACCAACTGTCGAACAAGGGTGGGGCTACGAACCCGAAAAAGGATATGGGTGCTCATTGGTAGGAGCAGTTGGGGCGTTACGTAGTGAATCTCATTTCTACACTTACCAAGTCCATTTGTACAAACAAAGCCAACAACAACTATCATCTTTTTCATACGATTATCGTGTATTGATGGTAGTTAGGCCATTTGTAAGGATATACACCATTTTGGTGTCGAAACTACACCATTTTTATTTAGTTTTAGAACTACTTTTTCTCTAGCAACAATCGCCAAACATCACATAAAAGAATATTCTTTCTTAATATATAATTAAATTAAAAAATTTCTTTACTATATAGTACTTTTGATAAATATCTATTATTTTTATAGTTAATTAATATAATATCAACATAAGTAAACTAAAAATGGTGAAAGGTAAATAACATCTCTAATTCTGAAAATTAGTATATTCGTAACTTGTCCAACTATTAAATTGTTTTTTGTATGCATTAATAGTTGCAACCAGATGGTTAGGGGCTTAGGGCTAAGAAGAATCTAACTGTTTCTAAACCCCTCATGTTCTAACGGTACATCTCAAACGGTTTAAAGCTCATAGATTAAGAAAAATTGACGAAAGGTCGATTTTTCCTCAACAATTGACATGAAACCTTTTGTTAGTGGTCCCTACGTAAGTAGACTTCGGCTTGTGCTCTATATTCCATGAATTTGACATGTTCTTACAATTGTTAAGAAAATCTTGTTCATATATTTTTTTAATCTTTGAGCTTCATTGATTTTCTTTGTAACAATACAATACTTTTGTTGAACAAAAAGGTAATTTGATGTATTATGGTGAAGGCGTCGATTATGGTCACTGTGCCTGCTTTGTTCGTACTTCATGTAGAATGTTGTATTACCTTAATGACAATAAGATAAGTAGTAGTGTTTTACGTCTCTAGGTTACATTTTTTTTCTTTCTGATATTGTACCTACACTTAGTAGTTTCTTGTTGACGTGGCTAGTACTAATTCTCTCTTTACATTGTTGTGTTCTACATTTTTTGGGTTACAAATTTTTGTGTTTGCTATTGTACCTGTAATTAGTTTCTTGTTGACGTCGCTAGTACTAAGTCTCTCTTTACATTGTTGTTGTAGGTTTCCCAAGTTCGTGAGGAGACTATGTTCAATCCAGAAGACCTATATGATATTCTATGTTTTTGATAGGCAAAAGATAGCCCCAAAGAATGCAGTTCTCGTGATTAATAAAGATATTTCAAAAGACAGCCTTGCAGCAAACCGAACTTCTTTGATTATACCTTCTAAGGGAAATGATAAAGTGAATGGTTCAACAGTCATCAAAGAATCGAACACTTTGATTGGGTCAATAAGGTTTCTGGAAATATAATCTTTTGCTTGGACCATGATGGGAGAAACAGGGATATCATGTTAGTTTAAGACTTGGATTGAGATGGTTGTATTTGTAAAAAAACATTTGTCATACACATACACATGCTTACAGGGATTATGCACGGGAATGCTAACTGGAAGGCGAAACAAATAGAGGAGACGAGATTGAAATTTGTCTTTATGATGTTAGCTATATTTTGTTTAAAACTTGGGTATAATTTTATATAAAAATGTATAATGTAATAATATTGTATGTTGATGATTTATGAAATATAAAAATTCAATTACATTTATTTTGCAATACATGGTTCAAATAAATAATTATATATAACTCTAATTAAATTTATATAGCAAATATAAATAATGCTACAATACATGAAAATAGCACTAAAGTGTGCTATAATAATATAGTATAGTAGAGCACTCTATTACCGCTATAATTGAATGACTTATAATAACATCTCAGAAAACGCTATTATATGAGTGGCATCTACCATAGCTACCGATGTCATAACATTTATAAAAATGCTATGGAATATGTATGATAGCAGATTTTTCGCGGTAACAATGTATATATTCTTGTAGTGGACCACCACTAATGAGCCCTCAGTCATTTCCAAGAAAAGGAAAGCTAAGCCAGTTGGAACTACCACAAAGAAAAAAAAGATAGATGATTCCAGGTTATTTAGGTATACCTCTCCTCTAAAATCGAAGCTAATATTTGGTGTTTGTCTATGTTCGTTTGGGTAGCTAGCCATTTCCCTTAACTGCTTTTGAATATTGTTCTCTCTTTTTAGCCTATTGAAGTTTCTTTTGTTTTCTTAATGCAAACAAATCAGAGCCAACAAGGTGAATGATGCACTTCATATTGTTGGTCTTGCCACCAAGGTTTATGATGGCCTTCATATCGCTAGTCCTGCCATTGAGGTGAATAATGATGAGGTAGCAAATGTCTTATTGGAGATTTATAGAATTGTCATAAATGATTGATGTTTTTGATTGTTTTTGAGGTTGTTTGTCACATTATGTTTTGAGAATTGATTTAGGTCAATTTGAAAGAGTATTTGTGTTTTGTGTTAGACGAACATATGGTGGAACATGGAGAATGTGGCAAATCCCTTCAGTTGTCCCGAGGATGAGGTGTGTCCACACATTTTGCAAAACAGACACAAGCATGATTTACATACCAAGTAAACATAACGGGTGTTGTTGGTTATCTAGACTCACATGTACTAGATGGTCTTGACAAGAATATATAGTCAAGCATGCCCGAACTATTAACAGTAAGATATGAGTTTTGTGTTTTTTTTTCTCTGCTGCTGCATATACTAGCATTGTATTTTTTTCCAAGAACCGAGAAATCACGCCACGATCAAGCTGTAGATGGAGACATCATAAAGAGAATTGAGAAGAAGGAGAAAATAAGTTTGTGAAGGTTGTGAGACATGAATGTGAGTAACTTATTGTCTATGTGCTTAAGTTATATATGTGTGCTTAATTGTTGTAAGAACAAATAAAAATTAATATGAGTCCAATTATTAATGCATATAAAAAATAATTTAATAGTCAAAATTAGTACATTAGTAATTTGTTGTGTTTGCACAAAAAAAAAGTAATTTATTGTGAAGACATTTTATTCGCTCTTCAATTAAATGAAAGGTAAATTACACCCTTATTGTCTATTTGCAGAATTTTTAATTTTATTTTGCCGTTATAAAAAAAAATATATATATATATATATATATAGACCTTTAATTCAACTATCAATCTCTCTTGCGCTTTTCTTTATACAATTTTTATTTTTCTTGATGATCGTATTCTCTTCCATCAATTATTTTTCGAATATTTACTTATTTTCATATTTTAGTTCATCCAAATTCTGATGTTGTAATAAATTTTAACTTTTTCAATTTACCATTTTTAATTTTTATTTTCACATATCATCCATTGATTCCATCTTTGATTTCCACACATTATATATTTGTATTTTTTTTTCATTATTCTTTTTCCCTGTTTTTTAACATTTATCATTTTATTCTTTCAAATTTGAAATTGTTTTTTGATCTGAACATAACTGATTCAGTCCTATTTTCAATAATTTTCATTAATATATGATCACTCACTAATGAAACAACAAAGCAAATATATCAAGAAGGAAATCAAAATTTACATATTTTCTCCAAGCTCCCTTGCTGAGGTCTGAATGAACATGTAGCCAACAGTGCTGACATTGAACATCATTCCTTCTCTTTTCTTTCCGTCTGGAAAGACATTCAACTAAACCAAAGGCAAAAGTAACAAACTATATATAGTATATGTGTATATAGGTACTAGTGCATCAATGATGACTAACTAAACAAAATATTATTTATCAATATTTTCTAGTTCTTCTCCTCATACATTTTTACAACCTTCGTCAAAAGTTTGTCCTATAAATGATGGAAATAAGATTAAAATCACAAAAACATGAAAATTGCAAAAGACAAGACAAAACAAAAGTTATGTACCTCTTCGGATGTCCATCTTCCTTTAGTTGATCTTCTGGTTGGACCACTCACCCTTCCGTATCTTTAACCACAAAACAAACATCAAACCAATCATAAGATCAAGCCCTAATGACAAATAAAAAATTTGTTTTTTTTTTTGCCAAGGTATTACTCTACTTTAGGTAATGTTCTGTATAATCCTTTACATTTCATTTTAATGATATTAACATTCATATCAAGAAAAAGAAAACATATACATAAACTGATCATAATTTTCTTAAATTTCCAAAATTATTTCATATCCACTAATCTTAACCATATTACACCATCGAAACTTCAATAACATATATAAGATCCCAAATTCATCAAGTTGTAACAATTATACACCAAATCACATAATTGAGGAGCGAATAAGAGATGGACAAAATGATTGAGGAGCCTCAAACGTATGCATACCTTTGAGCAGAGTCATCCATTGCACAAGTATGAGTAACGTCGGTATTGATATCAGACTCGGACTCTTATCGATTCAAATCAATAGATCGTATCATAATATTCAGAAAATTGACAAAACTAATTATTAAACCCTAATAACAACCACAACTAACGAGAATATCAAAGAAAACAAAGAGAGACTAACTACATATTATCTTAAACTATAACTCGAACTTAGAAGAATATTTTCAATCACATAAAATCCTAATCTATTAGAGAAAGACTTCAAGTTGCCGTGGCCCGTTAAATTTATCAACAAAAAAAAGGACTCCCTTCATCTTTTATATATATGATTACTTTATCAAAAACTTAATCAATATCTAAACGTTGAATTTATTTCACCAAGATCTAAATAGTGTATTGATTAGTTACTTCATGTCTTATATTCATTATCACCTTATCAAAAAAATGACGAAGCAATCTAAACCATTGAATTTATTTAACCAAGATCTAATGGTTGCACTTATTCGTCACTTTATGCCTTCTATATATTATCTTTTTATCAATCAAGACGAATATATATAATTTAATAAAAATATTTTACCCAGATCTATTTGTTGATTTTGCTTACACTTCTCTATATAAATGTATAAGACTATTTAAATAATCACACATTTTCAACTCATTTTTTAATCAATAATGTTCTTCCATAATGACTTCAAATCTCACTTTGTCATATTCTACACTACATATATGAATTTATGTAATGTGTATCGTGATATTTTCCAAAATCCAATCATAGAAATAAACCAATCAAGAGATTGATTCGAACAATAATTGAACTGAATATAAATAATTTGAAACTTTTGTGGTCAGCCAAGGCCAACGAAATCTTTTCAAACTTGAATGACAACAATTCTTTACAGAAATTTTACAAACTTGAATAACACAAGAAGTAAAATACAAGATATGATTCAAATTCGATTACGTCTAGCATATCCTTAAAGTATCAAATTTTTTGCAAATAACAACACTAGTACATCCGCTACACTCCAAAAAGGGTGTGATATTACGTTATTTCCATCATTTTTAATAGATAATCAATTATCATCATCCTCTAAAATGAGTTCATATGATCTAAATATAAATGATGTATACGCCACTACTATTATTTCGAAAACCTATAGGTTTGAAAAAGGCAAAGGAAAACAATAATCTCATAAACAATTTTTAAAAATGATGGAGAAAAATTATAAACTTAACCATTATTAAAGGCACTTCCGAAAAAAAACAAAAAACAAAAAATTCTAAGACAGAAGGTTGATGTATCAAAAAAATGAAAGAGAGATAAAAATTATAAGCGGATTCGAGTTTTATAATTGATACATTATCCTTTTTTGTATATTAAAAAAATAAAAGAACTTTTTTGAGGAAATGGGCACAAAGAAACCAATATGAAGAACACATTGAATGTTCACAATACTAGTGTCATAGATATGAATATTGGGCATTCCATTATCTAGGATATCAATCTCAAGAAGTACAAGTTCAAAAAGAAGATGGTTAAGATGAGAACATGCATAATTAATTATATATATATATATATGCGTATAATTAATTATATATACGTAACTTATATATAAGTATATTTAGAAAGAAATATATGTATTATATATATGTATGTGTAAATATACTTATATGATTTATAATAGTAAAAAATTTCTATCATTGATCTATAGACAAACTAATTCGATCTGGAATATTGTCCGCTTTGATTTACGAGTTATGTTTAAAATATGTTATAAAATCAAACACAAATATTATTGTACTTTTTAAATGTAATAAAATTTGTTTAATAAGCTACTAAAATATTTTTGAATAAATAAAATTATTATTTATAAAATTAAATAGTATAAGATTTATCCGGTTATGGTATCGTATTTTAGATGAAAACATACGAATCGGAGAAAATATAGTAAAATAAATTAATATTTTAAAATAATAAAAATTAAAAGAGAAAACAAAATGGATTGGGCCTTAGACCCGAAAGAGGGTTTTAGGCTGAATCTGGGCAAGTGGAAAGTAAACCTATAGAGAGAGTTAGCGACCACCTCACAAGCTTCGTCTTCTTCACAGAGCTTTTCCTTGCCCTAGATAGCGCGAGCGGGAGATTCCAGATTGAGAGCAGCTTCCAGTTTCTCTCTCCTCGCCGTTCCTCTTCGCTTCTTCGAGTTTCGTTACCAGAGAGGTTAGTACTACTGAGTTACTAATTCGCCTTTTCAATTTCAATCTGGAATTCGTCGTATCCGTTGAATTTGGCTGTGGAATCGAATTAGACACTTGTCGTCTGAATAATTTTTCCATTGAGAGTGAGTGATGTTGAGTTTATGCTTGTTCTTATACTAATTTACCTTTTTTGTAGATTCTAGGTATTGAGGGAGAGAGTGTTGAAATTATAGAATGGACTTTGATGAGTATGAGTACTTAGAGAAGACAGTTGAAAATCCTCACTTGGAGAATGAAGTTGGGAATGGTGGTGGTGATGAGAAAGTCAAATCTGATGGGAAAGAGCGGAGTAGAAGCTCAAGGCATAGGGGTGACGAGAAGAAGGAGAGAGATGAAGACGAGAATGGGAGGCGTTCTAAGCGGTCGAGATCTCACCACCGTTCACGTTCTAGGGACAGAGAGAGGGATAGGCATAGGAGTAGCCGGGAGCACAGAGATAGAGATCGTGAAAAGGATATAGATAAAGAAGAAAGAAATGGGAAAGATAGAGAGAGGGACAGAGATAAGGATCGAAATGGTAAAGGGCGTGACCATGAAAAAGATAGGGAGAGAGATCGGTCACGAAGGAGTAGAAGTCGATCAGAGCGACATCGGAGTCAGGAAAGAGAAAAGAGCCTGGAAATTGAACCTAAGGAAAGAGAGACCAAGGACCGAGATAGAGATCGCAGGTGCTCCTTCTCTCTCTTTTCTTTATTTGAAACTTGTTCTCATAAATGCCTACTGCATTTAATCAATATACTTTTTGTTCATACTTCTTGAGAAGTACACATCCGAGTTGGTGATCGACTTGAAACTCTACATATCGCCTGCTAGTTCACACTTTAGAATCCAATTCTTAAATTTTTGTACTGTATTTAATAGCTTCTTTGTACTTTTTCCGAAGGACTTCTTCATGGTAGTTTCAGAATATTATTGAGATGTTGAGAGTGAAATTGAGGATGCAGGCTCCTAGTGCTTCCCATCTTCTTGATGTGATGACTGAATTTGGAAATCAAATCTCTTATGCTATTTGGGTTATGCTGCAAAAACTTTGATGTAAGCTATAAATGTTAACAGGTTCATACTAATGCTATTAGGTCCATTGGTATTGCCTTCTGTACAACTTGATGGGGCACGTTCTTAAGATTATCATTGTAATAGAAGGTAAAAAGTTTTTGGTTAGACTTCAGGTTGGTCCTGTGCTAAATTTAAAATGAAAGAAGATCTAAGTTTTAATTATTAGTTTATTGTTCATCCCTTGTTGACTTTGCATAGTTCCCTGCAGGGCCATCTCGTGCTTCACGTGTGTTCGCCTAATGGAGAAAAGTTTATCTGTTTTGAATTGTTATAATATTAACATATTGCTGTATACCAGAAGATGCCACTGATATGTTGTCTCTGGCCTATTCGAAAGATGTTGCGACAACATGTAAAATATAGATGAAAAAGTTTATAGTATGAAATTAAACAAGCTCACATGTTTGTTATTATGCAGACGCCATAAAGATAAGAAGGAGGATAAGGTAGAACCTGAGGCTGATCCTGAAAGAGATCAGAGAACAGTTTTTGCCTATCAGGTATGCCTGTTGTTATAGCTATGGTTCCTTTGAAACATTATAACTCGATTAATAATTGAATTTTTTTTTTATGTACAACAGATTGCTTTGAGAGCAACAGAAAGGGATGTTTATGAATTCTTTTCTAGAGCTGGCAAGGTTTGTTCATTCCCTGCCTGTTTCATGTTGCCATATAAATTGTTGTTCTGGCTGGTTCAATTGAAATTTTTTGACACATTGCCTCCTAAATATGGTTTTAGGTGCGAGATGTACGGATAATAATGGATCGAATTTCCAGGCGTTCCAGGGGAATAGGGTGAGTTTCGAACAGTTTGACTCTTTAAGACTTATGTGGCTAGAGCAAGTTTTTGTTTATGCTTAAGAGTTTTTAACTGTCGGTGCAGTGATAAGCTTTAAATAGCTTCTGAGCACGTAAATTGTGCAAATGCTATGTTGTATCTTGTTTTAGTACTGTTTGCTGGATTCTGAGTTGTTCCTACTTGCAGGTATGTGGAGTTTTATGATACAATGTCTGTCCCCATGGCTATTGCTCTATCTGGACAACCTCTTCTTGGTCAGCCTGTTATGGTAAAACCTTCTGAAGCTGAGAAGAATCTTGTTCAGTCAACAACTGCTGCTGCTGGAGCAGGGGGGATGTTGGGCCCCTACTCCGGGGGAGCTAGACGTCTTTATGTTGGTAACCTCCACATTAACATGTCAGAAGATGATCTGCGAAAGGTAAACTATTTCTTTTCCCCTGGCAACTGCTCTATGTTTGTTAAAGAGGAAGTGTTATTTGGATAAATGTCAGAAAACCGTAAGAACAGATTTTTTCCTGTACTGTACAAATTATATGCCTATTGAGCTTTAAGGATCATAGACCTCTTTTGCAATTACTCATTTTCGGATCATAGTTTGCTTTCAGGTGACATAATAATGCTTTCTTTTGGCATTTCTAGGTTTTGAACCATTTGGGAGTGTGGAGCTGGTGCAAGTACCTCGTGATGAAACTGGCCTCTGCAAAGGATTTGGTTTTGTTCAGGTGAGTAGAGTCAGTGTCAGTCTTAAAACATTTTTTTTTTTGCTACTGTACTTTTTTGATTAACAGAATTCTTTTCTTTTTCTAAACTTTCAAGTTCGCCCGCCTGGAGGATGCTAGAAACGCACTGAATCTAAATGGGCAGTTGGAGATTGCAGGTCGTGCAATCAAGGTAGTGGTTACACTTTTTTTTTTTTTTTTTTCAACTGATATCAGTAGTATTGAAGGTAGTAGAGAGCTTAAGCTGTGTTAGGTACTTTCTATACGGATTCTTTCTCTATATGGGAAAATTATGATATAATTCCCGAACAGACATTCATGTTCTTTGTGCTTAGTGATGTTACATTATCACTTCTATGGAGGCAAATTGAGCAGTGTGACACCTCTATGTGAATTTTTTTGGCTGATACTTTGAGCAGTCAACCATCTTGAATCTGTCTCAAAGGCTTCTAAAGATGCATTTAAGACCACATGTTATATCTGTTGATGATGTAGTTTTACTTTTCATTAGGTGTCAGCTGTAACTGATCAAACTGAAGTCCCAGAAGCTGGACAGACGCAAACCACCGGTGATTTGGATGATGATGATGGAGGTGGCCTGGTTAGTAGTTGTCTTAATCTCGTTAGCATAACCTCCAAAAGTGGATATATTTCATAGATCTATAGTTACTGCATGATGTAGGATTATAAAATATGAACATAAGTTTAATCAACTTTAACAAAAGGCAAAAGGGTGTTAATAGACAATTTTACTACTTAATCTGGTTCTCTATAATTGTAAATAGCTACTATGTGTAAGATCCATGGTGGAGTAGAAGAGAATAGAGTTAACTTTCCAGTTTCCGGCACTGTCATTAAATGCATTTGTTCTCTTAGCCTTACGTGGTTGCTTAATCTGCAGTCTCTGAATGCACAATCGCGGGCGCTTCTCATGCAAAAGCTCGATCGCAGTGGAACTGCATCAAGGTTCTCTTATTTTCTGTTACTAATTTCTGTTTTTGCAGTTTGTTTTCATTCATTTATATTCCACTAAATCCTCCAACCTTCTCTGCAGCACTGGCCTTACTACAGCTGCATCTATTCACGGTGGAGTTTCTACAATCTCTTCATTGGCAGCTCCTGCACTTGTACAAGGGTCTTTTCCTGCTGTTGCTGGACTCGCAGGGGCCGGCATTATTCCTGGTGTAATAGACCCAGTTGGTGTCCCCAGCGAATGTCTGCTGCTTAAAAACATGTTTGATCCATCCACTGAGGTTAGTGGTCTAGTAAATAGTTTCTTTCGGCTGAACAATTCGTACCTCAAGCTAACTCTTCTTTACACTTGTATCTGTTTGGCAGACTGAAGATGATTTTGACAAGGATATAGAAGAAGATGTTAAAGAAGAATGCTCCAAATTCGGAAATCTGAATCATATCTATGTTGACAAGTGAGTGAGCTTTAGGATCTTGTTACTTTCTCACTCGAAAAGAGTAGACTGGTCTCTGACTGACTTTGAATCTCTGTTGCTAAAACAGGAACAGCATTGGTTTTGTCTACCTGAGATTTGAGAATGCGCAAGCAGCCATAGGTGCCCAACGTGCTCTCCATGGAAGATGGTTTGCTGGAAAGATGATTACTGCGACTTACATGGTAGCCAAAATAAAATAAAACATGACTTGTGTTGTCTCAGTTTCTTCGATTTCATTATCTTACTAACAATCTTGCTTGTTTCTCCTTTGTTTTAACAGACTACAGAGGTGTACGAGGCCAAATTCCCCGAGAGTAAGGTCGGTTAAAGGTGCCGAGAAAAAGTTGTTAGTATGGTTATCAAAGCATAAACGAAGATAAAATCTGCGGTGGTGAAGTTAACTGTCCTAAAGAGTATTACAAAATCCAATCTTGTGTCAAATTTATGTTTATGCTTTTACTCGCTTCTTGTATTTTTAAGTCTCGGTAATGTGTGTGACGGTAACTTTGACACCTTTTTAAAAGTCTTAATTCAGTATTTGTATTATGCGAACATGTTTTAGATTTCATAAGAATCTTTTGACCTTTTTATTGGGCTAAGCAACTCATTTATTGCCTTTTCGACTACTTTACGGGACGAAAACTCTTGACGAAATCTCACATGTCTTCCCTAATGTTTTTCTTAATTCGGATTTGGAATCGAGAAGTATACTTTAACATGAACACAATTGGGCCTTAATGGGCTATAACATACTATATTAACAAACTGGCCCAATTATTAATTATTGTGTTCGAACCATCGTGAGAGAAGAAACCATATTGGGGTATATGGTCAGGTGCAGCACCGACGGTTATGCGAAACGCCACGGTACCAACCAAACTATAATGTTCACAGCGAAAAAACGCCTTTGATGTACTCTTGTCTTGTGGAACAAACATGAAGGCGACGGTAAAGTCTTACAGCCATGGATGGCACTATGGCAGTCAATGATCTCAGGGTTTTTTGGCTGGAACCGCAGGTCCGTTGTGCACAGGACCATTTGATGTGGTAAAAACGAGGTTGATGGCTCAAACCCGAGACGGTGAAGGTGGGGTGAGATATAAAGGGATGGTTGATGTCATTACAAGGATTTATGCAGAGGAAGGATTAGTGGCTTTATGGAGAGGATTGTTGCCATGGCTAATGAGGATTCCACCATGACAAGCCATTATGTGGGCTGCTGTTGATCAAGTCTCAACTTTATATTAGAGATTTCATAAGAATGTTCTAACATTTTTTAAAAATTATTTGGCCTAGAAAGCAAGAGAATGTTAACTATCATTGTCACATAACATTCCTAGTAGAACAGAAGAGGTCTATCAATCAAATGTTTTTAATTATTCGAAGTTGATTACAATATTTTTAACGACTATTATTGTCTTTTACCTAGTCATAATCATTCTCAATAGTTACATGTAAATAATATAACAAATATAATTCATATACCTCATGCAATTTTAGTTTTTATAATAATCAGATAGATACAAAAAAAAAACATGAATATGACGACTTGGTAAGCAGATCCAACGGCTGAGATTCGATGAGTGGCCTCGTGGAATGTCATAAAACAATTTGGCACATACTGACGAATATACCCTTGACACCGCTGAGCTCCTCCTCCTCCTCCTTTGCCTTGTTCAATCTTCCTCCTCGATTCTTCTTCTTCTGATAAAGAAAAACCAAAAGCATTTCATCAAAATCGTAATCGATTGAAATCTTCCTCCGATCACTTCTTCTCCAAGATTCCTCCGATTCGGTACTTACGAATCTGTTCCTTGGCAGCTCAATGTGATTATATATATTCGTGTACAATCTCTGTAATATTTTTTGATGATCTTATTAGGTTCCTTTGATTCTTTCTCTTGTCGATCCTTTGATCAAAACTCTTTTGCTTGGCTTTTTTAGATGGAACATGAGCAACATGACCCTGGTACATCATCAACAAATGTTGGGGTTGACTCGCCACCGCCACTTGATGATTCAACTGTGATGAATAACAACGAAAGCAGTCGTATCGATAGGTCTGTTGATTCAGAGCATCCTAATATTTATCGACAAGATATTGTCAAAAACAATAGGACCGGTAGTATTGGGGTTGTTAGCGAAGTAGCTGGTGATTCCGACTCCGAGAGTGATATTACTGATGAGGAAGAAGATGATGACGATGACGATGATAATGAAGAGGAAGGGGAAAAGGCTAGTGAAGATAATGCTGCTGTTGGCGAGAAAAAACCCGATGAGAACTACAAATGTGGTGCCCTTGACGGAGATCAGATTCGTGTGCTTTGGATGGATAATACTGAGCCTGTTCAAGATATTAATGATGTAACCGTTGTAGACCGTGGTTTCTTACATGGAGATTATGTTGCTTCGGCTTATGAGCCGACTGGTCAGGTGGGAGTTGTAGTGGATGTGAACATATCAGTTGATTTGTTGGCTCCTGATGGTTCTATCCACAAGGACTTATCAACTAAGAATTTGAAACGCGTCAGGGATTTTGCTGTTGGTGATTATGTGGTTCATGGTCCTTGGCTAGGTAGAATCGATGATGTATTGGACAATGTGACTGTCTTGTTTGATGATGGTTCCATGTGTAAAGTTCTACGTGTTGAACCCCTTAGGCTAAAACCTATTCCCAAGAATAATCTTGAAGAAGATGCTAATTTTCCTTATTACCCTGGCCAGCGTGTTAGAGCAAGCTCCTCGTCGATTTTTAAGAATTCCCGGTGGTTATCTGGACTGTGGAAGCCCAATCGTTTAGAAGGTACTGTGACCAAAGTTACTGCTGGATCTATTTTTGTCTACTGGATTGCCTCAGCTGGCTTTGGTCCAGATTCTTCTGTTTCCCCACCTGAGGAGCAGAATCCAAGTAATTTGACATTGTTGTCGTGTTTCACTCATGCCAATTGGCAAGTGGGTGACCGGTGCCTTCTTCCATCGGTGAATCAATCTGCTACGATCCCCTTACACAAGCATGTATCTAAATTAAGAATTTATGATTCCCAAGCAAATGGTGCTGATCGGCAGCAGAAAAGTGGGTGCGATTTAGAAGATGTGCAAGATGAAGTAAGCGGAAAAGTTGAACCTGTTGGTATTACTGCTGAAGCTTTGCCAAAAGTAACTAGTGAAGATCCTCCTCAAAGAAATCCTTCTATTTCAAAGGAGCCTGTTTATGAGCCTTGGCCTCTCCATCGTAAGAAGATTCGCAAACTTGTTATCAGAAAGGACAAAAAGATAAAGAAGAAAGAGGAAAGCTTTGAACAAGCTCTTTTGGTAGTTAATAGCAGAACATGCGTTGATGTAGCCTGGCAGGATGGTACAATAGAATGTAGACGGGAAGCGACAACATTGATTCCAATTGAGACTCCTGGTGATCATGAATTTGTCTCTGAGCAGTATGTGGTAGAGAAGACCTCTGATGATGGTGATAACACAAATGAACCTAGACGTGCTGGCGTTGTGAAAAGTGTCAATGCAAAAGAACGTACCGCTTCTGTGAGGTGGCTAAAGCCACTTCTAAGGGCAGAAGAACCCCGTGAGTTTGAAAAGGAAGAAATTGTCAGTGTGTATGAGCTAGAGGGCCATCCAGATTATGACTATTGTTATGGGGATGTTGTTGTTCGCTTATCACCTGTTACCGTTGCGTTACCAGCATCTTCTCCCGGAAACTCTTTAGAGGAGGCAACACAGCAAGACAATGGATACCAAGATTCAGAATCCCATCAAGAAGCTAAAATCCTTCAGGATAAAGAAGAAAACGAATCTAATACAGACCTTTCAAAGCTCTCATGGGTTGGAAATATTACTGGCCTCAAGGATGGTGATATTGAAGTAACATGGGCCGATGGAACAGTATCAACGGTACGTCAACCTCAACTAGTCTATTCACTTACAATCCCTTGCTGGTGTGGTCTCATTATATGATTTGCAACATCTACAGAAATTTTGAGTGTTTTAATACAGTTGCTGTTTAAAAGTGTTTATTCGGGATGCTCAATGTATATCCCAGACCTATTTGTAGTTAGTTTTGTTCATGTTCTTGCTGCTCTGCTTTTTATTTCATAGATCAGGGAGTTAGGGGAAAGGCCAAACTATAAATCTTGTCCCTTCCTAGATGGTTTGGCCTAAAAAGACTGTTGATGCATAAGTTGGAGGAGATTTTATTACCTATCTTAAGGAATAACTTGGAGAGCAGTTGTTTTTTTTCATTTTAATGACCTGAGTGATATATGCAATTTGGTTCGTTATGAGACTGTCTATGCAAGAAAAACAGTCAGAAATCTTTTCGATCTGATGGCACTTTACCTGTGGATAAGGCTTGGTATTCATTGATTTTTAATTTTTCGCTTTTGCTTTCTCCTAGGTTGGCCCTCATGCAGTTTATGTAGTTGGACGGGATGATGATGATGAATCGATTGCTGGAGAAAGTGAAGCAAGTGATGCTGCTAGTTGGGAAACTTTAAACGATGATGATAAGGGTGCTCCTGAGATTCCTGAAGAGGTTTATTTCCGTTTATAAAAAAATTACTAAATTTGTAATTACTTAATTATACGTCTCCGTGAACCAAACTGTTAAAAAAGGCTGGCACTGATTTAATTCCTTTTCTAGCATAGGCATTGCCATTTGTCTGCAAATTAATAAGAATGTTTGATTTTCAGGAGCTTGGAAGGAGTAGTTCCATTGAGGGAAACTCTGATGCAGATGTCAATTCTGAGAACGATTCTGGGAGGAACGGTGCCCTAGCTCTTCCACTGGCTGCAATCGAATTTGTGACTCGACTGGCTAGTGGAATCTTTTCCCGTGCTAGGAAATCTGTAGATTCTTCCAGTTCTGATTACACGGGGGAAAATGTATATAAGCAAGCTGAATTGACCAACTCTTCCGATGAAAGAGATTGTTTCCTTGACGACCCTAGTCCTTCAAAGGTCAATGTGACTGATAATTGTGAGTCAAAGGGCACTCAAGCAAATGCTGAGAATATTTTGAGTGGGGAAAGCTCTACACTTTTAGAAGATGAGCAAGTACCTTCTGATGGTGATAGCTGCAGTTTCAGACGCTTTGATATATCACAAGATCCTCTGGACCACCATTTCCTTGGCGTAGATGGGCAGGTAGTTGAAGGACTTACACTTTAGATGACTTCTTTGTTGGTGCAAAATACTAAAATATATAATAAACTTGCAGAAAACCAAAGAAAGACAGTGGTTCAAGAAGGTTGATCAAGACTGGAAAATACTTCAGAACAATCTTCCGGGTAAGAATGTCTAGCTGTAAAGTTAAAACGTTCAGCAGTATCTCATTATGGTAACATCTTATCGGAAAAAAAAATCATTCAACTTTGGCAGATGGAATCTTTGTTCGAGCTTACGAAGATAGAATGGATCTCTTGAGGGCTGTAATAGTTGGGGCATATGGAACACCATACCAGGATGGTCTCTTCTTTTTTGATTTTCACCTTCCATCTGACTACCCTAGTGTGCCACCGGTATGGGTTTCTAATTTTTATTATTACAATTGTGCACAACCTAATGTTGAATCCAGCTATGCATAATATGAAAATAATGTTCTGTCATGTTGCAGTCGGCATATTATCATTCTGGTGGGTGGAGGTTAAATCCCAATCTGTATGAAGAAGGCAAGGTCTGTCTTAGCCTTCTCAATACCTGGACAGGCAGGGGAAATGAAGTCTGGGATCCCAAATCATCTAGCATCCTCCAAGTTCTTGTTTCACTCCAGGGATTGGTGTTGAATTCAAAGCCTTATTTCAATGAAGCCGGGTATGATAAGCAGGTCGGAACTGCGGAAGGAGAAAAAAACTCACTGGGATACAACGAGAATACTTTCTTGCTAAATTGTAAAACCATGATGTATCTTATGCGGAAACCACCAAAGGTAATGGCGAAGCTCTGTTGCTATTTCTACTTAATTTCACATTTTCCCCAACATTTTTTTTCTTAATTTTGTGATGAATTCTGTAGGATTTTGAAGAACTCATCAAAGACCATTTCAGAAAACGTGGCTATTACATTTTGAAGGCATGTGATGCCTACATGAAAGGATATCTCATAGGTTCCCTTACCAAAGATGCCTCGGTTATCGATGAACGCAGCAGCGCTAATTCAACTTCGGTTGGTTTTAAGCTTATGCTGGCTAAGATAGCGCCAAAGCTTTTCTCAGCGCTGAGCGAAGTAGGAGCTGACTGCAATGAATTCAAGCATCTACAGCAGCAATAACACAAGCCTCAAAGGAGCTGGATACACCAATCATTGCCAATGAACCAAGTGAAGGTTTGCGGCTTCTTGACTATTACAAGTTTTAATATTCAGATATTTCTGAAATGTGTGTAATAGAGTTACTTTTTGGAGTTATACAAGAATTACATGTTGCTAAGTTGTAACCCCATCTGCTCCAACAATATCGGCAATGAATTTTTTTTGGTTGGTCTTGTTTGGGGACTACTTAAAAGTTTTAGGGGTGCACTTCAACACTTGTTTCTTTTGTCATGGGTTGTCAAATTACGTCTCTAACAAAGATTATTTAAGTGAAGTTGTTTCGCTTTTATTGTTTCTGTTTGATGAAATTATAGAGCAGTCTCGCTATGGTTTATTCTTGGTATTGGATACAGGAACTGTTCTCAAACTGATATTCCTTTTTTTCTTATTTCTTGAAATGAAAAGATCTTCAAAGTTTATTTATGCAGATGTTAATGTTTCTTTCGCTTGTAAAGCAGACATCTTTATAGCTTTGCGGAATTGGTCCTTATTGGTTGTGGTAATGGTTGATGTGTTGGTGGTGGTGATGATGATGAGCGCTCTGATTCATCTGATGATCAAATGGGTGATGATGACCGTTGTGATGCTGGTGATCATCATAGTGTTGATAATCAACTTCGTTCTTTTCGTTTTGCATAGAGCCGGTAGCCATCTGATCTTCTTGCCATCCTCTAGATGTGTTCCGGGTTATATCTAGCAACGAGTTCCTTACGTGTTCAGCTTGCACCATCTCGTTATCATTTTTCTGTAAAACGGGAAAAAAAAAACATATAGTTTTTTGTATATTTTGCTTTGGTTTTTGTTTCTCCATTCCGCAGGTCCTTTAGATCATACCTCGACTTTGAAGACATTGGAGACAAGGCTGAGGTAGCGAGTCGTGTTAGCATTTGTGACCTCTAGTCCCAGAGAATCCAGTGCCTCCATTAGCCTTGTGAAGCCTCCTGGTTTGTATTCGCAAATCACCTTTACGAAAAACTCTCTGCCATCTAACTGAGCCACGTCCACCTGTGGCTGAAACTCCTCAACACAACATAAACCGATATTATGAGATTGTGATTTTAGAGTTCAGTATAGAAGAAAGGTGAGAGTTAGTTTCTTGTTATTATGCTCTAACCTCCATTTCTTGTCCTTTATCATTGGAATTCTCAAGATCAACATCTTGTTTCACGTTAGGAATGTTGGAGTTACATGAAATCCCCGGGTGAAACCCAGTGACCACTGTCCCGTTCAGGCTCATCCCTCCTTGCTGCCTATTAGATCCATCCTCAGTCTCTGAGTTCTCTTCAAGCTCGTCTTGAAGTTCCTTTGCCTCATTCTGCAACTCCTTAACGTAGTTGATTGCATCGCCAAGAATCGACGCCCTGTCCAACTTTCATGCCACAAAAACTAGTTTCAGAAACGCATAATAACTCAGAAACCAATAAACAAACCCCGAGAGGAAACAATCCGCAGATATAGATACCTTGGTTATCGTGGGAACAAGCGACCGGAGAGCATAAAGCCTATCGTTTAGCTTCTTCCTCCTCCGTCTCTCAGCCATCAGGTTCTTGGCTTGAGATCCTTTTCCTGACTTCTTCTTGTACTTTGGATCATCTTCATCATCAATCTGGTCGCTGCAATCCGACCCTGAATCCACTCTACCGTTCTCATTCATTTCCTTATCGTTAACAACTTGCTGTTCATTCACAAGCAAGCTAGGCTCGCCGATCACTGGAATCCCGTCTTCTGCCACCGTGTTAAATGGGTTCATACCCATCATTTCCTTGTTACCATTCTCTGAGAGATACCCTAAGGCTTGATGATGATAATCACTCTTCATCTTCAAGTGCTGTGTCTCATAATCACTCATCTGAGGCAAGAAATTGAGTCGGATCTGATCAGCAGAGATATCGTAAGACGAAGGGAGATTCATCATTTCTTCTTCCTTCGAACCCTTTTGCTGGATATCACTGGATAACATCCCGTATGGCTTCGATTCGACCTCGTCTGCTACCATCATGTTGATCGTTACAGAATCATCCATCAACATGTTGCAATGTCCCATTACAAAATCCACCACGTTCTGATCTTCAGCGACCTATACGTACACAAATCATCACAAACAACCGAAGTTTAAAAAACCAAAAACTTGGCATAATTAAGAGACAGAAACATACATGTCTGGTCGCAAAGAGCTCCACTAGTCCTCCCGGTATAGGAATCAAAACTCTAGTACAGATTGTTTCCTGCAGAATTTAAGAAAACTGAAAATTAATACTTCTTATGAGATTGTGATTACTCAAAACTCCGAAAATCGGATAATACCTGCATAAAACTTGGTTCCGAGCTCTCACTCAACCAACCCGTCTGGTTAGTCAGAAGAGTCTCCGCGTATATCCTACATCAAAATCCATATTTTTCCATCTCTAGACATTTCTTATGAAAGAATATATGCAGCTTGTATATTTATATATGATCATACCCGGAATCAAGAGGTATGGAAGCTGGAAGATGGGAAAGAAATTCACAAGATTTGGTCCGAGGATGATGAAACATAACATCCCTACAACCTCCGTAGCTAAACTCTTCTGTTCCATTCTCCGCTATGAGTTCTGTCCCACCACAACAACATCCCATCCACTTCACAAACCTGTCTCCTCCAAAACCACAATAACAAATATATGTGACGCAAGATAAAGAATGATAGATAGATAGAGAAAAACTCTTTAAAGCTTAACTACTTATTAGCGAAGAATCAAATCAACCTTTGGTCTTCGTTTAGTCTCCAAAGAACACAATAATCCCAAGCTCTTGCACCCACAAGAGGTCTCAATTTCTCCAACAAATTTTGCATATTACTCTCCATTAGTCTCTCAAAATGATTACTGCATATATCAAATAAAACCTTTACTTGACAAAACCACCAAACTAATGCCTCAATAATTAATGGTTTTGTTAGTAACAAAGAAGAAATTAGAAATGGCATAATGAATTAGAGAGACAAAATGTACCATTTCTCATGATGATAGAGCTAAGAATATCATGAGGAAAATATGCCAACAAGAACTTACACAAGATTCTCGGAAGAAACAAGGCTCCTCAAAAATCTTGTGACTGGTGAAAACTTGACAAGAGAAAGCCAAGAAGAGGTAGCAGCAATAGAAGACAAGAAATTGGAAGAAAAAAGAAGAAGAAGAAGAATAATCAATAATAGGTAGCAGCTAATTACTTCCATACAAGGTTGAGCTTTTTCGTGTAAAATAACGTCACCACAAAACTTTATTTATATATGTGTGAAAATATATTGAGTTAAAATAATTTCTTTCTTCTCTCTTAGGAGAGATTGTTTATGGCTTTGGTAGGTAAAGTGCAGGACATGCATGACGATCAGTATATATATGTAAGTATTTATTTTATATTTTTTTGTAGCTAATATATATGGAAAATATGTAACTAAAACACATTAATATAAAAAGTATATATTATAAAAAAAAAATTAGAATGATGAAAGGGGCAGATTGCATGAGCTACGATAACGTGTAAAACCCTAACTAACTTTGTTGAGAGCTTCTCTTCGTTGCGTTTAGGTTATTCATTCTTCTTTCGGTGTCTCAACTACTATTTATTTTCCCTTCTTTGTTATTTTTATTATTCTTTTTTAGTTTCGACGTTAAATATGTTATAGTGAGATAAAAGTTCACATAAATAATTGTGTATATATGCAACTATTTGAGTTGAGAATAAACGTAAATATACGATGAAAACAATTAATATTGTTTACGTATATATTGTTAAGCTGAGCTAGCTTTGTCTCCTAATAAATATCCATAGACCCAACTGTCCAGTGTCCACCTTTCATGAAGCTAAAATTCATGATTACGTAACAAACCACTCCCATAGTCCGACGTAAGTTTCTCCATCTAAAAAAAAAAAAAAAAAGTTTCTCCATCTATACATATCTACACGCATGTTCCTCTTTGATTAGAGAAAAATTCGTTGATAGAAACCCACATTGATCAAGAGTTTAATGTTTGTATGATGGATTTTGAATTCGATTCCGGGAGAATGTAGTATTTCTTGATCTTTTGGAAAATGGGTAGAAATTAAAGACCTTTCATCTTTTCTAAAAACATATTAAAAACTCTTAATTTTTAATGGTTTTTAAATCCTCACCTTTTAATAAATAGAAAAATAAAACCTAATATTAATAAACTCAACTTAAATTCATACAAATTGTTATATTGAAACAGAAAATTTTTAAAAAATTATTATTTATGATTTTCAAATTTGAGTTTATGATTTTTATCCTAAAATTAAGTTTTTGCGATAGAATAGTTTACAAGGAGACACAGAAATAGTGCTTTTAGGGACAAAGTGTCATATGAGGATTTCAACGTCTCTTTATTCGGATATGGGAGTTTCAATATGGGTCATGTAGAATATCCTTTTAACAAAGATAGATTGTTTGGTGTTCGAAACAGATTGTACAGAAGTAGTCTCAATGGTATAATCTCATAAAGCTTTGCATACTTTCTCCGAGATCTACTATATGAAATTGGTTTGCTTTGTGTCATTTTTTTTAGTTTTCGTTTGTTAGTATTTCTCAAAATGGTAATTTAAAAGCTGATTGCTTAGCTCGATCTTCACAAAAAACACTGTACAATACAAACAGTTATAAAAGATCAAATATATTTAAAACTACATAGAAAGTTGTAAACCATCATATATTTTGAAACAAAATTAAAAAATTTAAACATTCTATATTTGGAAATAGAATGAAAATTATGTTGTTTGTTTTTTTAAAAGTATTTTTTTTAATTGTTTTACTTGATTCTGTCAACAAATATATTCTTATAAAATTTCAAACTAAAATTTTAAATATTAATTAAATATTGTATTTATAGTTCGTAATAATATATGTAAAAAAAAACACTTGATCTTTTATTGTATACAAAATTAATATTATTTCTTTATCAACCACACATCAATTAAAAACTATATAACTCCATGATTAGTTACCCAATCTTGAGGAAAGAAGTTTATAAAGGTGACTTCGGAAAATAATAATCTAGAGTATTGAGCTAAACAATATCCGCCTTAGAGTTACATAAACAATATATATATATATATATATATATATCGAAAAAGGGGAGCAAATTAAAACACGGAGCAATCCAAAAATCATCTAGTAGATTGGAGAAAGCGGGTCATTCTTCAGGAGACTACACCATCAAGAGTAGCACTTATGATTCAAACGCCTGACAGTCAATCCTTTTTGAAAGGATATTGTTCATACCCCAAATTAAAGATTCCATCTCCGAGTGAAGGGGGGAGGGACACTTTCGGAGACACTTTGCACCAAGAAGTATTGTTTGATCATTTCCTTCAAAACACCACCATCCGAGACCCGTAGTTGGATCCGAAAATTTCCATGAACAATCAATCTGACATCTTAGAGATTAAGTCGGTTGATCCATGTTTTCCTATTTACACTTGATTCAATCGGGTCTAGTTGAGCTTCTTCTCACAATAATTGTCTGCTCAAAGCGTGATTTAAAATATCTCAGGGTTCAAATTGTATTCCCTTGAAAACTTTGTTGTTCATATCTTTCCATATGAACCACAAAATCCAGGCAAAACAGTAAGTTTTCTCCTACTGGAGATGGTAATCCCCAAAATAGATTATCTAGATTTGAATATTCCAAACTTAAAAGGAAAACTTCTTGGAATTATAGGGATCGAAGACAATTCCCAGATTTGTCGAGAGTGTGGACACTCAAATAGAGCATGATTAATTGTTTTCTCTGTCATCTCACACCTTTTACAAATAATATCGCATAGTATCCCACGATGAGCTAACTTTGTAGTAACCGTTAGAGATCACGCGGCGATTTGCCATATAAAATGTTTGATTTTTGGTGGGGCTTTAATTTTCCACCCTTGTGTTTTTTAATATTTTATAATTTGGACTCCACTCAACCATTTCTGTCATGCTATATGCAAGTCGGTAACCTGACTTTACTATATATCTTTCTGAATATGTATAATACCAAATTAATCTATACGGCTTATAAACCTGACTTATAGCCAAACCCCTAATGATTTGCATATCTTTCGGTCCATAATTCTTGTAAAATAGGTAAGTGCCAATCTTTTTTAACAGGTTTAATTACTGATGGAGTTCTAATGGGAGAGACCATGGTCTTCATTGGATAGCATGAGAGAAAATGTGTAAGGCTAATTAAAGAAGAAGGAAGAATGAGTTCATTCCCTAGATAAATTTAATGATGCCATGTTGGCTAAACATTATTGGCGACTAATTCAATTTGAACTCTTTAGTAGATGAGTGCTAAAAAAATTTGGGTGTTGTCTTATTTTCCGACCAACAACAATGAGACACGTAGACAGATCCAAAGCTTGTCAAAAAATCCAAAATTGGACCCAGATCCATTGTTTTATTTTATTTTAGATTTATTTTTTGGATCTTTTGGGCCTTGGCTATGGTCTTAGACCCACCGTTAATCATGCTCTAAGCCGATCAACGAGTAAAAAGAACTTGGACACACCGTCGGAAGACACATGATTTTCGAAATGTATTCTCGATGCAAGGAAAACGGTAGACTCTAAAATTACGAAACATTAATTTCAAAACCAAAATCAAAAAGGAAAAAAACCTTCAAGTAAACAACATATGCAAAATGGTTTAAACCTGGAAAAAAAAAAGAAACTAACATCAAAATAACAAAACATCCTCAATTTACAGAACCTAACAACGAGAATTACCAAAAATATATACCTCTAACCTAACGATAACATCTACTTCCTCCTATTAAGCCGATAACCGTTCTCTCAAAACCAAGAATCAAATAAATCTTTTTTTTTTTTTTTTTTTGTTTGACAAAAAATCAAATAAATCTTAAAGGGGGAATTAGCTCTATAACCAAAATCCAATGTAAAATTAAGAATATAGCACTCTATTCAAAAATATTAAGAAAATAACATAAGGATGATGGAAAAGACCAAATGGGACAGCAGTGAAGGACACGCGCACTGGGAGAAGAAGGAAGACGTAGTTACTTGTGTATAAGTTAAGAATCAAAGAAGAGAGAGAATAATGATGACATGGCCAAATGATATTACCCCAAATGATTTTAATTGTTCAATTAGTCTCATAAAAATAACTGATTAAGTCTAGCAATAGTTAAAGAAAAACATAGATTTTTTTCTGTGTATAACATGATTAAAATTTTTTAAATCGGATACGAATTATGTAAAATAGTGAATAATATTTGTCTAAACACAAAAATAGAATAGTATAAAATGAAACTAAATAGTATAGAACAAATTTTTTTTACCAAAATAAGGTAATGATGGTGGTAGTGGTGGTGAAAGTAACGATATAGTGGTAATAGTGGTGGTTACAATGATCGTGGTAGTTAAGACGTGCTGATATTGATGGTGTTGGGTTTACGGTGATCGTCATGGTTATGGTTGCGGTGGTGGTGGTGGGATAATAGTGTTTGTTGCGGTAATAATGACGATAACCGTAAGAGATAAAACATAAACGACTCAAACGATCGAACTAAACGCACGTCGAAAAAAAAAACACTAAACCCTAGTAGATATAAAATTGGCAACCCAAGCAACCGAGGTAAACCGTGGCGGTGATATTGACAGTGTTAATGGTGATGGTGGTGGTGATGATAGCGGAGGTGGTGGTGCCGATGATGGTTGTGGTGGCACTAACGGTGACGATGATGAAGGTGGTAGTGTTCTCGATGTAGGTGGTGGTGGTGACAATAATAATGGTGACGTGGTGGTGGAAGTGATGCCTAAATAATATAGGAGACTAATCTCAATTGCTCCTCAGAGTCAAATAATTAATCTACATACTCTCCTCTAATCCACATACTCTCCTCTAACCCACAATATACTTATGTGATAGGTATATTGTGGGTTTCATATAATTGTATTATATATATTATATATATATATATATTTTGTTAGGGTAATAGAATAGAAAGAGAAGAAGAGAGGCAAGGATTAAAAAAATAAAAAATAAAAATAAAAAGAAAAGACAAAAAGAAACTGTGTATCATAGCAACATGGGCAAACATGTCATTATTATAGATTACACATAAAATATTGTAGTCTTATGGTTAGAATAGCTAGTTAGTTAATTAAAGTTTTTTTTTTGGTTATACACTCAAATTTCCCAATCTTAAAAGCTTAAACCAAAGAGAAAGTAAAATGAAATTAGAAGCTACTAGGTCCCCACACGTGACTAAAAATAGTTTTAAAAGTCGGTTAATTAGTAGGTGTGAACTATGAGGAGAGGATCAGCTTTTTCTTTTGTTCCCTTTTCTCGTCTCAGCTTCCTTGTTGTCAACTTCTCGAAGCCTTTGATTGATTACAACTTCTACCTTCATTCTCATGCCCATTTATTGTTTAATTTAATAGTCAATCTCGTCGAATCTTCAACGATTCTCTTCAATTTTTAAAAGCTTTTGGTCAAATCAAATGTATGCAAAGACAGATCAAAAACCTCCTCTTCTTCTTCTTCTTATATACTTCCTCTACAAAATCTCTATTTACTTCCATCTTCTCTGCTCAAGACTTCTCTTCACCATTCCCATTTTCCCGGTAACTCTCTCTTTATCTTGTGTGTGAAAGAAAGTTTGAAGCTTTGATCGTAAAAATCGGTGCTTTGTTCTTTTCATTACAGAGATTATTGTGGGTCTGCTTTTGTTTATCAATAAATTCAATGAAGAAAACGATGTTTCATAATAAAGTTTTGATTTTTTTTGGTTTGATTCGAGTTATTATTGTGGGGATCGTTTTGGTACCATAGTTTTAAAGTTTCTTTATGTATATGTTTTGGTAAAGTTATCTTCTTTTTCTCTCTCTCTCTTTTGGTGGAAACCAGATTGGAGTTGTTGAATTATATGCTAGTCTTTGATTTTTGTAACCATTTCTTTAATATTGATTTGAGGTTCTAAAGTCTTGACCTTTTATGACATACCCTGAAGTGACTTTATTCAACTCGAGAAGCCACATTTGTTAGTGTTCTTGATGAGCTTGGTTCTTTTTTGCAATTCATGCTGATAGGCTTCTTGTGTGTGTTGTTTGTTTCAGTTCTTTGCTTCTGATTGAATCTAGATATTGATTTAAGCTATGGATGTCAATCGGAAAGCTCACCCGGATTGTCGATATTCTTCGAATCCTTTCCATGAATGTGCTTCAGATTGTTTAGAGAAGATTTCTCAAGGCCGTGGAAATAAGCATTCAAAGAAGCAAGGTACTTTCTTTCTGTGTCCTCACACTATGTTTGATCCGTTAATCTATGAGTATGCTTTATGTATTGCTTCAAGGATAATTCTTGGAGGGTTGTTTGTAATATGATCAAGGCTTTAGCTTTCAATGGATCTGCAAAGTTGTTTTCCTTTCTTTTCTCATTCTTGATTTGTTTATTACAGGTGCAAAGATTCTTAGCCTCCCGGGGAGTTTTGGTAAGAAAAAGACGGAGTCACAGCCACGGTCACCTTTGAATACAAGGAACTATCAGAACGGTGCTGCTAATTCCCCAAAGATTCATCAATCAAGACCTTCACCAGTAGCTGTCAAGAAGACGACGGTTCCAGAAGCGAACAAATCTTTCCCCTCTCTATCACCTGATGAAATCTCTATTGACCTCAACGGTCAGCATGATTCTTTCAACCATAAGGCAGAGAAGCCATCGCGAACTGTTCCTCTATCCCCAAACAGAATGGTATTTCTTAATTACCCTCTCTCACTTAACATCTATGTAGGTGTACGATATGTATATATTAGAGACTCGTAGAGTCTTGGTTTTTATGTATGATCTTACAAGCAGAGAGAGTGTGATCTTAAAATGTTCTGTTATGTTTCATTATTGTTCAGGCTGATGGTGGCAAACCTGTATCACCACGACCTCGAGGGCATGACCACAGTGGCAAGAATGAAACAGCCAGTGAGATTAGTGTGTTTAATGTTGTAAGCCCTCCAAGATCATGTGCCAATGATGATGATGATGATGATGATGATGAAAACAATGATTATGAGGAGGGAGTGGAGCTAGACCTTATATCAGTAATGTCGGACTCGTGTGTTTCTGTTGGAAAATACCGTGTGAACTCAAGTGTTTCCACAATCCTACAGTCAATCATCGACAAACACGGAGACATAGCTGCAAACTGCAAGCTAGAATCAGCATCAATGCGATCCCGATACCTAGAGTGCCTATGCTCATTGATGCAAGAACTTGGATCAACCCCGGTCGGGCAGTTGACCGAACTAAAAGTAAAAGAGATGGTCGCGGTTCTCAAGGACTTGGAGTCTGTGAACATCGACGTTGGCTGGATGCGTTCGGTTCTTGAAGAGTTTGCTCAGTATCAAGAGAACAAAGACTCAGAGAAAGAGAGGCAAGAAGGATTGGTGAGGTCTAAGAAACAAGAAATGGAGATTCAAGAAGCTGATTTGGCTCGGATTGAGAAGGAAGTAGCGGAAGCGAGGTTGAGGGTCGAGGAGATGAAAGCAGAGCTGGCTGAGCTCGAGACAGAGCGGTTGCGGATGGAGGAGATGGGATTTAAGGTCGAGAAATATAAAGGGAAGTCATTTCTTGATGAACTTCTGTGATGTTTGTTAATATATAAGTAAAAACAAAAACCAATACTGAAGATTAATACTAATGTTTAGTTTATGTAAAACCTGATCTGAGTCATTAAGGTGAATTATTCACCAAGAGTATTATTTTCTTGTTTAATTTATTTTTGGTGATAATAAATTACTTTGTTCTTTTTATGTATTTCTCCTTACATCAATAAATTACTTTGTTCTTATTCACATGTCTTGAATTATTTCTGCTATTTAATACAATGCTAATATTTACAAGTAGGTATATGAATTATTGTACCATATGTTTTCTAAAGAAATTGAGAGTTTGGACTGGAATCTCATTTACCATCTTTTTGTTGATTCAATTTTGGGTTTGAAATTATTATATACACATTTTAAATCATTATTCCTCAAAGTAAAGTCAGTATGTTTACCATTAAATGTTTTTGGGGATTTAAATAACTAAGATTTTAGTAAATTCGATATTATTTTTTATAATATATAAAATACCAAGTTTTGTGTCTTCCAACTATTTTATCACAGGATTTTTCTTTTGGCGAAGAATCATTCCCGCGTTGGGCGCGGGATAATTAATCACTAGTTATATCTCAAAGTAAAGTCACTATGTTTACCATTAAACGTATGTGTGTATTCCATAATGCAATCTTGGGCTAATCAAAGAAACACATCAAGTAAACTTTTGAGCATAATCAGCTTCTTCTTTTCTTCACTAGCATTTCAGCTTTCTACATTTTTAATTAGTGAAAATTTGAATAAAGAACTTCTTGTAAAAACTTATATGATTAAATAACCTCTTTTCATATTATATTTTCAATAACAAAATAGCAAATTTGATCTATTTTGGACTTTTTTTTTGTCCATAAACAAAAACAATTCTCTCTTTCATTCTTTTGTTTCATAAGTTCTTTCTCCTGATGATGATCTCCCACATCAAGATACCACAGGTCTGATTCAGTTATACAATAAAGAGCTTGAGGATGGGCTCTCAACCCATTAAATATCAAACCATTTTTCTACTATCTGATATTTATACATGGGAAAAATCACGTTTTTAACTTTCAAAATGTCACTGGGTAACGCTTTAAATCTCGAAAGAATTCCAATAACACTATAAACCACCATAATAATTTTACTAACACTTTGTACCTCTAAACTAACTTTTTTGTTTGTATCGTCAAAAAAAATGACGGAACGATTAATTTCTGTATGTTTAATATAAATTTATTTAATTTAATTTAAATATAAATTAATTTTATTATTTCTTACAATTAATAAAAATCTTTTTTAAAAAAAACTTCATCTTCTTTGTTTATTCAACGTCCGACCATGAAATTTCTTGATAAACCTCTGAAACTAGAGACTGAAGCACAAGAGAAGTTTAAAGTAGAAGAATAGAAATAAAATAATGTAGAATCTAAGGTACAAGAAAAGTTTAAAATAGAATAACAAAAAACAAAGAATATCGAAGCTTAGCCGAAAAATAAAACATTCTCCGTATCGGAGAATCAATTGGGAGATTGATCCAGAAGCGTTTTCGGTTTTCACTCTCTCCGGTGGATATAGTAAACTTAATAAAAATCTAAAAATTTGTGGCCGGACATTGAATAGTCGAGGATGATGAAGTTTTTTGCACTTTTTTTTATTAATCGTAAAATTATAATAAATAATAAAATAAATTTAAATTTCAATTTAATGTTCTATCATCTTTTATGGCGGTGCAAACATGAAAGCTAGTTTGGAGGTTTAAAGTGTTAGTAAAATTATCTTGGTGGTTTATAATGATAGTGGAATTCTTTCGAAGTTTAAAGTGCTACCGGTAACATTTTGAAGGTTAAAAATATGATTTTTCTTTTATACATGTGTATATGAATTCCTAATTAATTACACTAGATTTACTCGACGCGAGTTGCGCGGGATATCAAATTAAACCGGCCACAATACAAAATGTTAAAAATAATCATAATCATTTGACAATATACAACATAGAACTTATCAAAAATATTTGGTATGTACCACGTAATAACAAAAGTAATATAAGATGACTCGGACTCAAGTAGCCATCCATGAACTTTTGTCAAAAAGAGAGTTTATTCCATAAACATATCTGATAAGTATATTTGTCTCAAAGTTTTGACCTAATCGTACCCCAAACTAAAAGTAAATTTACTGAATTTGAACATCAATTTATGAAAATGTATAAACGTAATATTCATGCCGCTTCAATAAGTTTGGAGAGCACAATTTACCTATTAAAGCAAGACAATCATGCATTAAGGAAAGTTTTAACTAAATCATGAATGTCCTTATCTTATCTATCATACAACGCTTAATCATATGCCTCAACGGTTTAATCCGATGTTGAATATGATAGTCTGATTTACTAAACCAAACTATTTGATAGTATATACATATATTGAATGAATTTACTTTAGTCATGTGCATACATATATCCGATGTTTCAAACATTGGTCAATTTCTCTTCAAACATTTTTTCTCTATCATTTTTTCGTCATCTTATATGATGCACTTGTTCGCCTCCCAATTTCTACTCTTCTTTTATCTTCTATGCTCACTTACATATAAGAAAACTTTGAATTCGTTCTTAACTCAAAACTAATTTCTCATTTTCATATTCTTAGTCTATTTTCTCTTACTAATTATATGATTTTCATGCTTCAGCGTAATATAATTTTACGGAAGATATATGTGAAAATTTTCTCAACACTTATTTATAATTTTACCTATATTTAAATATTTTTACCTTTTTTTATTTAGAAAGCAAATAATAATATAGATATAATTGTATTATTTTTATTGTTATATTTTATTACATTTTAATATTAAGATACAATTAATCTTTCTTTTTTTCGTCAATGTGAATTTATACTTTTACTCTCTTGAAATATAATTTCCAAGTTTAAACATGAATTATTTCTTATACGTTAAAAAACTTATACTATCATACATTTACTATAACATTTAACCATTTATTTTTTTAATCTAAATAATAATATTATCTTAAATAGATTACTTCGGTTTCAATTGGTAACCATGATTTAGGAAAAGAATGAGTAGGAATGTGATATTCCTCTTTGTTCTTCAATATTTTTACCATTTACAAGTAATATTTATTCCAAATCATTTCTATACATTCCTCAACAAATGCGGAACAATAAAACAAAAAGTTCCTCTCCAAAATTGATGAGGAACAAAATGGAACAAAAAAAGAACAAATAATAAAATTCGTTTTTTATTTTAAAATAAATAAAAATTAATGTTTATCAATAATATTTGTATTTTAGTATATAATCATTATCATATATTCATAATATATTAACAGAAAAAATATTTTTGATAAGAATTTCATGCGGAAATACTCTTAAGACTTTATTTAAAACCTATATAAATAGTAAAATAAATTTAAAAATGTTTCTATTCTAAAAGAATAATATCTTACTCATACAATTTTATTTTATGTTAATATTAACTATTATTATTTAACATGATATATATAAATTTAGTTCACAAATTTTAGTTTCAAATTAAATATTAAATTAATTAAATATAAAAAATATTAGTATCTTTCATTGAAATTTGATTTATTTAATATTTAATATATTTTTAAGGATTTTATTATTGTTTAGTTACCATTCATCCATAATAGTACATTTTATTCCTTCTCTACATCTTTTCTTTTTCGTTCCTCAAAAATTGTTTGTTCCATTCCGCATTGTTCCTTTTATTCATTTTTTTTGTTCTTTTAATGGTTACCAGTTGGAGCCTTCTACTTTATTATCATCTTTTTAAGTTAATGTTTTCAGGAAATATGAATATCTTCTTGTTATTACAAAAATAACTCTTATACCCTTCCATTTCAATTCAATTCTCTTATTCATCCTAAATTATATTTAAGGTTTCCTTATCGATAGTTTTTAAACTTTTTTTTTTAATAAGTTATTATTTCTTTGTTATTTGTTTGTCCATCTTAAATAACATTGGTATTACTATGAAATTTTCATTATTATTTTTATTTCTTAATTATATATTTAGAGATTATGTTTATTTTAAGTTACATATTAAGAAAAATTTAATTTTAAGTGTTTTATATGTATATATGTTACCCCATGTGTTGTTATTATTCAAGTAATCTTTATTTAAAATTGTGCATTAATTGAAGATTACTTCTTAGATAATTATATGTAATTAGCTATAAAATTATATATTTTGAAATAATTAATTATTGGTGGGATCCATCATATTAATTTGGTGATGATGTGGAGACCCTAAGAGGAGAGAAAACTCTCCCATTATATATATATATATATATATAGATTTTTAATAAGTTATTAATTTTTTGTTATTTGTTTGTCCATCTTAAATAACATTGGTATTACTATGAAATTTTCATTATTATTCTTTTATTTCTTAATTATATATTTAGGGATTATGTTTATTTTAAGTTATGTATTAAGAAAAATTTAATTTTAAGTGTTTTATATGTATATATGTTACACTTGTGTTATTATTATTTAAGTAATCTTTATTTAAAATCGTGCATTAATTGAAGATTACTTCTTAGATAATTATATGTAATTAACTATAAAATTAAATATTTTAAAATAATTATTGGTGGAATCTATCATATTAATTTGGTGATGATATGGACACCCCAAGAGGAGAGAAAACTCTCCCATTTTTTTTTTGGTGATTCACCGGGAGAAAATTCTCCCGTGTTTATTAAAATTAAGAAAAGCCCATTTTAGTTTCAAACGACAAACCTAAAACCAAAAAAACCTAATGTCTAATTGTAGCCGACCTCTCGCATTCTTTAACTTCATTTGAGAGATATCACAAGAGAAAACACAGAAAATGGCGGCGATGTCAGATCTTCCACGTGAATTGTTAGAGGATATCCTCTCTAGGATTCCGTCCGAGTCTCTAAGAGAATTGAGATTTACATGCAAACTATGGAACGCTTTATATAAAGATCGAGGGTGCATAAAAGAACGCTTCCACAAAAGAACAGCA